TTAACACCATCCACTACAAAGCCTTGCGCAAGATTTTCTCTATTAAGAGCTCCTTTTTTCATAGGGTACTTTCACCCACAGATGAACAATGCTCCAATGAGTATCTCTTAAAATTGTCATATGAGCACCTTCCCAAACTACAACCTCCCTCTCAACACATACAATCGGCCAGAATCGCATATCTGGGCCATCTATTACGCCACGAAGCCCAGCTCGAACACCATTTTTGTTTCAACGCCTCCCACAATTATATACAATTTCCTCAACGACGTGTCGGAGCGCCCAGAATACATTGGGCCGAGCTCGCCATGACAGAGGCTTATACTCGACAGCAATATCTGCTTCAGAATCGCGTGCCGCCTAGGGTATATGAACATTCTCATGCTTTTTATACGCAACCCAGTCGACAAGATATTGCGGCCCTCCACTCACACTGGTTTGGAAACACTGACTTGATACGTGCACTACAACCTTTATCTCAAGACCGATCCCAGTGGAGGCAGCTAATGCACCCTCGGTAAAATTTTTGGAAGGGAGCCCGCTTGCTAGACAGGGCTGCTGACAGGCGGTCTAGACTTGGACTCGCTTTTCGCCTTCGAGAGAGAGAGATTCCTAAATCACCAAGACAACGCCCGGCCTGATTGACCGCTTTGATCGTACAAATGTTCATGATGTTCCTTCTCTGCAAACAGATCAGATAAAGAACGGTTTGTCTCCTGACTATAGGAGCAATTTCATGGCCCCACATCATTCAGTGGAGGCACGCTCAGACCGTTTGAGCCCCATTTCAACTTTTGCGGCAGTTTTTAACCTCAAATTGGTCTCAAAATCACAACGCGCCGCTAAATTTTGCGGATTACCTGGCGCATAAACTCTTTTCGGACCAGGACTCGGCCATTCACTACTACGCTGTTTGTGACGACCCTATTCCGCCCTTTTACCATGCAGAATCTTAACGCTCCGCGAATGAAGAAGAGAAAGGCCTTTGGTCCTGATGGATTGCCAGTGACATCGATACGCACGCTCGGTACGGTGTTGAAAGGCTTGATGCTAGAGCAAAATATCCAGTGCCTAAAAACAAAGACATTCCAGACTCTTGGATGATGTCGAAAGTAGTTGTTTTGCCTAGCACTTTTGCTCTTGCATACGAATACGAGGTTCGAGATTGAAAACGCATGGTGATGCCCATGACAATGCCGTGATATTCATGTACAAATTGTTTTTGATGTTTCAGTTAAGATATAATTTTCGTGTGTTTTCATGTCGTGATGCATTCCAGTTGCCTATTAGTAGATCATGCTGACTTTCCAATGGCTTTCCAATTGCAGCATTTCAGCATCGGGTGGTGCAAAGCACGGGCGTTATTTGCGAGCTCGACATTGCCATGGGCCGCAAGGTGAGCATAGGGTGATGGGGCGGGGAGAGGTGCATCCAAGCAGTCTTAGGCTGTAGGCTTTGTAGGCTGCGTGGCACCAAGCCAATGCAACTCAAGCCACTTGCAAGTAAATTTAAATGTTGATTTACAGCTGTATGTTTAACTGCAAGTCAAGTGGTGGATGTGGTGCATGTTGCGCACGACTTTTTGCTTGTGTGCAGTAGCAGACTGCTTGGCCGAGACTATGTTTTTTCCTAAAGCGCTACTGCATCGTAGCCTGCTACACTTGCCATAAATCCGACCGCGACCAGTAGGATTTGCCATAGCTTCTGAGTTGTCCGAACATAACGTGTTGATCTTTCTCCAGGAAGATGAAAAGCGAAAAGCCAAGGCCAAGGCTAAGACTGCTGCAGGCCGACTTTGAACGTTGCCCAAAATTCAAGCCAACCCGTGCTTGATGTGAGTGTAGGATAGTGTAGGCTTCCAGGATTATGGTTTTGATTTCATAGTTTCGGGCACAGGGAACTGTGTTGAACAATTGTGGCAAGAAAGGCTTATGCAAGCTGAACAAGTAGTTGCTCTCATATGCCTGTGGAGGAAAGAAAGCCAGCGCTGCTGCCGACCAAGTGGATAAGGCCAGTGACGGGCATGATGTGGATGGCGGGCTTGGGATTGCTGCTGGACGGCTGGACGTTGAAATTGATGTGATTGCGACCAATGTACTTTGATGCAGTAGACAATCGCCTTGCGTTACGCCCATGCAGAGGTTGTACACTGGAATATTCGTCAGGTGCAAAAGGAGGCGATGCTCAAGGGAAACGTGAAAAGGGCAGCCGTGACTCGGCTGGCTCCCGTCAGTGTGTTTGGACTACGCATCCGATTTCATGGAGTTGAATTGCCTCAACTGAAAACCACAAGGATGCATGCGCGCGATCTTTCGAGCTGCTTTGAAACTTTCAGATCCAAAGAGTAAAGATCCTAAGCCAAAACTTTTGCAGCCTGTGGCATGCACTGAAGGATTGGACGCATGTACCACTTTGTTTTTTTTGCCAAACATGGAAACACCAGTTTTCAGGTGCTCGAGACTGCAGTGGTTACGGGCGTGTTGGCCTCACAGCAGCAGGCCTTGAGCGACAGCAGATGGCACCTGTCGAGCTGCCAAGCGTGTGTGTTCAAGGAATTTGTTCGAGCCGCATTTTCGCACCGCTCCCCAACAGCCCCAACCGCCCCAGCCTTGCAGATGAGCTTCTGACTTGTGCAGGCTATGGATGTGAAAATCGAGCGCCGGGCTCAATTCGTGCTACATATGCACCCACAGCAGACACGACAGTGATGGACTGCTGCCAGCGTAATGTGATTGCGGCATTGATTCTCTATTGTTTGTTCGACTTCAAGCACAACATATACTACTCGGCATATTGCTCTCCCATGCGGTGGGGGATGAGATTCCTGTAGGGGGTGGGTCTGTCAAGCTTCCTGAGAAACCCAGCGTTTGATAAAGCAGACGCGAGAAATTTGCATTCCCGTCACCACCTCTTGTAGGTTCATCAAGAGATATCGAGAGATGCGCCGGTGAGCGTGCTGCCCCCCTAGGCAGTTCTCTCTGGGCGTTTATGGCAAAGAATTCATCAAGGCCGACTGCAGATTGCAGATGAGTGCAGTTTTCCACGATTGTGCCACGATTGTTCCACGATTGAGTGATGTGGGTCTGTGCGAGTCGGCTTTCCGAAGAAGCTAATCATCTAAAGTGTGGGTGAGTGAGGCATCTGTAAGGGAAGATGGGGAGCTGACAGTTTATGAAGCCCGCTGTATCGGAAGGACACAAAGCTTGAGCTCAACTTTGGCCGACGATATGGTCTGATTGGCATGTGACGTGGGCTGGGTAAAGTGTAGAGACTTTGATGTTGAGATTCGCTCCACATCGGCCAGTCACGTGCGGTCTGCATCACACAGGGTTGTGTTTCAGGGTTGGATGTCGTTCATCCTGGCTTCCCGAAGACTGCACCCAAGGAATGGATCTGGCAAGTCAACGATGCTTGCTGCCATCGCAGCCCGCGAGATTCCGATTCCAGATCATATCGCCTCCTGCGCTGCAAATACGTGTCGGGAAGATGATAGCCAGACGTGCAGACATGTTCGACTGATAGGTCGTGTTGCTGTAGGACAGAGAAGTAAGGCTGGGCGCTTATCATTTGTTCATCACACGTCAATGATGATGACTATGATGATGGCTTTGCATGTGCTCCGGACCCCGTAGTAACCAGAAGCTGCTTAATCTTTTGAGAGTTCATGAGCAGGGCCCTCGAAGGTGCTTCGTTCACTTCGGCATTCGGCCTCCTTGTGCACCTTTTGCATCGTCTGTCTGCCGGCCCCGTTTGCCTTGTCTGTCCTCTTTGCCCTCGCCGTCGGCCTGCCATCCACCCAGCGTGAGTGTGTATAGGGGTTTGGGCAAGGTCTTTGGCTGCCACTTGAGCTTTGCTTCCCTTTTGCTCCCTTGCCCGGCTGATTCTACCGGCAGGGATCCTTGTGTCGCTCTCTTTGGCTTCCAGAGACGCTTCTATTTTGTCAGTCTGTGACAAAAAATCTGGGCTTTCAAAAGGCTTCCCGAAGAGGTTGGCTTTTGTCGGGCCCGGACAAAATCTAGCTTTCCGGGGGGCTTTCAAAAGAAACCTGCGTGTTGTCCCTTTGTGACAACATCTGGCCTTTAAGACGGCTCCCTACAAATCCTCTCAGGACATCTGGTTCCTGGACAGCGAGGCAAAGCCAGAAGACACCACGGCGATCCAGGTCCGGACACTGCAAAGAAGGAGTTGTGGTGGTGGAGCTGCACTGCCCGTAGCGCAACCTTCGGCATTGGCACTTATGAACAGAACTCAACAAATCAAAAGCTGTGTGTCTCCGAGAGGCAGTGGTAAATGTCGTCGCAGACGAGCACAAGCGATTGGAGGCCTGAGTTGGACAGTTCGTAGGCCTTGAGAACACCACAGGCAGGAACTGGATTCTTGTTATCCTTGGCCCTCCTTTGTTACATAAAGGCTCAGCCGCTCGGAGTACATGAGATCTCGGGCCTAATACAGAAAGGCGTATGGTTAGAGGCTAGGGAAGGCGGCGCGTGGGCGGGGAGGCCTATTGAACAGCAGCCCAAATCCAAGCCGAAAAACCAACCTCGAAACTTTAAGCTCCACCCCCTCTACAAGCCCTATATACCCGATAAACCCAGAAACCCAAACAGACTGAAGGGTGGAGCGAGTAGTGATGAGATATAGGCTCACAGCTCCTGAGGTTGAGTGAGGGCGTTAGAGCCGTCTGTCGCGCACTTGTGGAGACAGCGATGCCATTGAAATTGAGCGCTGCTTAACGGCCCAAAGTGAAATACTGTTGTCGAACAATTGGCCGATGGCTTCAGCCAGGAGCTTTCCATCAAGCTCCTTGAGGAGGATCCAGAAAAGAACGCGGACTACCTCCAGGTTGGTTTTTTGCTTCAAGGTCATGGGTCGAACTTCCCGACAAAATGTGCGAACCCCTGATGCAACCTCTTGACCTTTGACCTCTTGCTGCTCTTGCTTCCTGGCATTCTTTGGCTCAGTGCTGCGATGCGCAGGTCATCGGTGACAAGCTGGACAAGATGGACCCTTCGACGTTTGAGCCGAGGCTCCCAAGCCTTCAAAGATCCAATCCGTCAGAACGCAGCGTCGCTGCTGATCACTTAAAGTATGCACGTAAGTCACGTAAGTTAAGCTTTTGCACACTTTGGGAGGGCTTGTGAGTTGCTCCACGGCCTTGGATTCACGCCGCAGATGATGCAGAAGGCAGGAGTGTGGGCTCGAGGCTTTCAATTGCCGCTTGAGAGGTTGTCACGTAGCGTGGTTTGGAGTGCTTTGGGAGTTGCTTTGGGTGTGGAGCCAGCAGATGCCGGTAGTAGTACCGTCCAGGCCACAAAGGACATGTCTGGCGGCTGGCGCATGCGCGTGGCGCTGGCACAAGCACTGTTGCCTGCAGCCGAACTCTTGAGCAAACATGTTATTTTAAGGGTACTTACAAATAGCCTCAGGGATCTGCAACCATCTGCAACCGCGGGACCCCACTCGCGGGCCGTCCTCAGTCCTGCCTTGGACTTTGGTCTGTTCATCTCAGGTTCGTCGAGCCGATGCTGCTGATCTTGGACGAGACCGGGCCTCGGGGGGCCTCGGGGGGCCTCGGGGGGCCTCGGGGGGCCTTGGGGGGCCTCAGATCCAGGTCAGATCCAGTCAGATTCGGTTTGTGGCGGGAAGACCTGGTAAGGACAATAAGGCAACACACGAACCATCAACAAATTGGTGTCTCACCGAGGCAACCGTCTCTGCAAATAGTGCAAGCAGAACTGGTACGCGAAAGAAACTTCGAAGATGCTGTACTCCTTGCCAGGGCCACTAAGCGGCTCAAGTCGTGGTTTCATATACATCACTGGAAGTCGCAAAGAAACGTCGACACTGCACACATCTGCACACGCTGTCGGCTTTTGGTTGTGGGTGCGAAAGCATGTACTTGTAAACGCTTGTGCGCGGGGTCCCAGGGGGGTCCCAGGGGCGTTCCAGGGGGGGATACCCAAAAACCCCAAAGCCAAACTCCAGCAAATTCGCGCCTTTTGGAGGAGCCGCCGAAGGCGGGACTCCCCAGCTCCTCCAAGCGATGGGGGGGGGGGTCCCAAAGGGCCGGGGGGGGGGGAAGGGTTGGGTTAGGATCCCGTGTGTGCTTGTTCCAAACGCTTCTCGGCAGGAAGTCGAGGCGAATTTCCGTCAGCTCACAACCCTGGGTTTGCACTTCCTGCGGAAACGTCTCACGAGAGTGAAGCAACATCAAAAGGAGTCAGGGAGCCACTGGAAGGTTCCTTTCCTCCATCTCCTCAGGCCGACCAACCACCTGGATTTGGGAGCGTGCGTCTGGCTGGAGGCCGGGGCTGGGAGGGAGGGGGGTGCTTAGGACTCAGCATGTCACATGCAGGAGCCACCACGACCTCGCATAAGGAAGTAGGGATCATCTGCTTCCCCCGTATATACGTGGCACCGGGAGATATCGGGCCAAAGCCAGCCATCTGCCTGACATGGGCACTGGATCCCATGAAAGAAGCCCGGTGAAGGTTGCCAAGGTTGAATGCAGCCGATTCGGAACGACGTTGACGGCTCCGGGCCATGGTTTGGCAACTGGTGCACAGATTCTCCTTGAAGGCCTACCGGAGCTCGAGGTGGACACTTTCACTGTGGATGATGTTTCGGGCAGCAAGTTCTCCATTCGCCGCAACATTTGCGTCGACATCGCAAGCATAGACCCAAGCAGCTCGATCGTGCAAACCAAATCTCCTCACCGGATTGGTGAGCTTGCGTTGTGCTGCGGGCCTGCGACGTGGATGTTCAGCTGCATGTGAAGCGGACCTACGAAATTGGTGAGATCATAGATGACTGCTCGCTGCGCTTGGAACTCTGGCCTGATGAAAGACGGTCAGTTGTTCCAGCCAGTCTTTCAGCAAGCCTGGCCCATGGAACGCTGAGTTGCGAGTACTGCAGTGTGACATTGGCAGAGGGTCCGAAAACTGGGATTGCGATGGGTGCATCGCTGGTGAGCCGGCCGCGAAGGTCTAAAGATTCTTGTTTGCGAGAATGGCGGGCTGCTCTCCAAGCCAGGCTGATCGACGTGCCACAAAAGCCACAAGGGATGCCCAAAGGGGTGCCACCAGCTCAGCCAGATGCGCAGTTGCTGCATGTCGGGGTGTGGATGGAGCCAGTGCAATGGTGTTTTCCACCGCAGCAGTTGTTTGGGGTTTAGCTGTGGGTCGTTCCTTTCAATCGTTTACGAAGAAGAGCTGTCCATGTGGTGTCTGTTTCGCAGATGTGGTACCATTGCATCCTCTGCTATGCCAGCGTCGGTTGCTGGACCTCGAAGACTGGGATGGGCTGCAGCTTCTCTCCGGTGCGAGGGTCCTGTGGGTCGCTGGGAGCCCGTGGTCGGCCCTGGGCCAGGGTGGAATGCTTGAAGAAGGTTCTCAATGTTCAAGTTCAGACAGGCCTCTGGTTCACGTGTTCAAGGAGACGCGGATTGTGCAGGCGTCTTCCAATCAGCCGTCCTTACTGCTGAAGGCAAGCGTTGGCTCCTCGATCTTGGATTGTTTGCTCAACTACACTGTTGCAGATTGGCGCGGGGGTATGGGGCCTCAGCCCCTTTGAGGCCATGTTGTTGGCTCTGCAACTCTGGCAACAGGCCCATACTTGCTCTGCGGTCTGCAAGGCTTGGCAAGGAGCCCTGAAGTCTCACAGGACGGGGGGAACCGAACCAAAACTGCAAGGGACTCAACTGAACCGTGCTTTACCAACAAAGCCAAGGTGTTGCACGGGCTCTGCAACGGTTCACAAGCTTAACGAGCCATCCCCTGACCAGTTATTCGGACCTTGCAGGAACTTGACCCAAATTTGTCGGCACGCGTTGCAGATTCCGCCTGAGCCGAGTGCGAACTTGCCACCGCCGCCCGTCCTGGTGACTCTGCGTCATTGCGGTTTTGACCTCGTTGTGGCACAATCAGAATGCTGTGATCGGTACGTTCCCCCTCTTCATGAAATGCGTTTGGCCTGCCCGCATATCGCGAATTGAGATTACAAGTGAGCTGACATCCGGCGAAGGTGACACCCTAGATGGGCCGACATCCACCCTGCTAAACAGGCACGCGGGCGCGTTCTCATCGGCCTTGCGGCAATTGCTCCAAGATCTCCCCTTGGCTTGGACAACTAACCCGCAGACAGGTGGAGTGTTGACTGATGATGATGGGCGCAGCTTTGCCAGCTACGATTTGCTGGGTATTTTTGCAGAGCAGGATGGTCCCGTTGCATTCGCGGGTATGGATTCAGAGGATGCGATCGAGCTTTGGTCCAAGGACGGTGCGAGGCTGCTGCCCTGCACAACGAGCGCCCTACAGCCTTTGGTTTCCAGGGGGTCTCACGGAAACATCGCAGGTGCAGGGGTGGCTGTGTCATCAAGCACCGCCGCAAGAACCGGCGCCACTTCCGTTTGTTTGTCCCATCTGTGCATACGGCGATGGGAAGAGGTGCCTCGGTGCTGCACACGTTTCTGGGGCCTACTGGCTTGAGTTCCACGACCCCAATGGTGCCAGCATTCAGCTGCAGATCGAGTTCATCCTGTTGACGTCGTTCGCAACATCCGAGGACAGCCTGTTCATGCACCAGATAAGGCCATTGTTGGCATCAATGGGTGGTTCTGGAAAGCCTCACGTAAACGAGCTGATTCAGCAGCTGCAAATGCTCGTTTCTGAGGGAGTGGCGGAGCGAGAGTCTCATGTGGGAGAATGCGACAACGATCCTGAGACGATCCAAAGCGAAAGCGGGTGAAAGGCCGTGTTTTCTGGATTGGCTAGGGCGGCTAGGACGATTCAGTGAAACCCTGACCCTGCAACCTCACCCTGCAGGCACTTGAAAGCGGATCTTGTGAAAGGATGGTTCTCAAGGGCTGTAAACATCGCATCCACTTGTGACTACTGCTGTGGTCAGGAGTACCTGTCGCGCTACCCCAACACGCTCCTGTTCACGTCACACTCCGAGGACTTCCTAGTGGTCCTAGATGCACTGTGAGATGGATCCGCCTCTGCCGCTTTTTCGTTTGTTGGGCAACTTGCCCTCCCGGCCCAAGCAGGACTTCATGAACGGAGTGTGCACCAACATCATGCAGCTTACGCAGAAAGGCTTGAGTGGCCTGGGGTTGTGTCCATGACGAGTCTGGATTCCAAGTCAGCAGCCGGGTGATTCTTGCCGGAGGCACTCTGGTCGTTTGGGGCGGCAACTATGACCAGTCGCTTGGCATTAAATATCTTGATCCCAATGTCCATGGCAGAACATGGTAGAATCCCAGTCCCGATCGTCAGATTTTGTTCGGTTGGTGCAGCTTCTCAGCTCCCTGCCAGGTACATAAAGACCCGAACAGAAGTGGAGAAGAACCAGTTGACCAAGTACAAGAAGGTGCACCCGGCACTGGCCTTGTGCCTCAACTTTCAAGTCTGCTCCAATCTGCTCGAAGTTTAGGAGGGCGCGAGCCAAGCCTCTTTCTGGCCAACCGCTGTTTCCCAAATCCTTTGTCTTTTGTCGTTCTCTTCGTCACTCCTTGGCCAAAAGGATGAGAATGTTCTTAATTGGTTGCACCTTTTCTGCACTACTTGCTTAGATCCCGTTGCCCTCGCCTGAACCCCAATGCATGGGACACCCAGCACGTTGCAATTAAAGAGCACCATCGTATCAAGCCAGTGTCCGGCACAGGAGCAGGATGACATCAAGCACCTCCAGGAGAGCTGTGTCATCGGTATAGTGAGCCTGGCTTATCACAAGTCTCCCGAAACCTAGAGCAGAAACATAAACATCCTCAACCCTACACCCAACGAGAGAATAGAAGGATCTCCGAGTACGTCAGGCTCTTAGGAGACCCCCTCCAAGCCTCTTGCAGGAGTTCATCCGCTCGTGTGGCACTTACGCCAACTTGCGAGTGCAGGCCCAGGGTTTTAGATGTGCAGCGTGCAGTCTCAAAACTGCTGGATTTCGGGTGCCTTACAACGGAAGTAGGGGCCCTTGAAAATTGCCTCGCACCCTAGTTAAAGAAGGGCTCTGCGGATTCTTGCCGAACACAACAAAAGACAGCAGGATCGTGTTTTGGCCACATCAGGCAGAGTCGAAGCAGAAGATCATCGACAAGATGGTGGAGGTGGTTTTGGTTGCAGACGGGATAGGGAGAGCCAATGGGGCCAAACTCGTGTTTTGTGCTTGGTTTCATCGCAGTGGGTTGGGACCATTAAATGGACATTAAATGGAGCTGCAAGTTGGGGGCCCATGCTTCCCCTGGCAGCGGACAAAAGCCGCAGCCTCCTTCTTTCAGAAGGTCTGAGGACTGAGGGGGAGCACCAGGGAGTCCCTTAATGCATGCTCTGTGCCTCCTGTCGTAGGCTGGCCTGACCGAGAAGCCTATGCCGGATCCTTCCTACGAGCGAAGGGCCCGGTCCAATGTCTGACTGTCGTCTGAATTCTGCGCATTTCTGCGCCGTTGTCTTCAAGGAGCCTGAGCACGGCATGCACGGCTCAGGTTCTCCTTCCCGGACTCGGAGAAGATCTCGCCCCCGGCCATGGCCTCGGGCTTCGCAAAGTGCGCAGCGCTCGCAAAGCATCTCGAAATTACAGGCTGCCTTTGACACGCCTTGACTGCTCATGGCAGCGAGCAGGTCATGGCCTTCGCCAGTGTGTCCTTCTCATACTCGGGGAAGAAAGAGGCGGGCGGCAGAAAGGGGCTTGCCACGACACGACCCTGGCCCAAGCAAGCTGTCTTGCGTTTGGTGCAGGGCTTCGAAATTGGGACAAATTGGGTTATCCCAGTACATCTCAGCTGGGAAGAGGACCACCTTTACGAGAAGCTGGAGCTTGGCGTGGACCTGGACTCGCGCATCGCACTCGTCGGCACGGGCCTCAGGGTGTCGGAGTTGGGCTGTGCATTGGGCGCATTGGGTGCTCTGCATCTCCGTTCCCTGAGCGTTTTGAGGACCCAACGGCGCAGGCAAGTCCACCCTTCTGAAGCCGCCTAGCTACACAAGGGTGTGAGAGCGAGCGGTCTTTTGTCAAATGTTCGGGTGTGCAACCTGTCGCTTGCGTATTGTTTGAAGACAAAACCAACACTCACACCAAGCCTTCAGGGTCAGGAGCTCGACAAAGAGCAACTCAATCCAGAACGTTGTCAAGATGTGAGTTGCTAGTTAAACGTCTTTCCTCCAGACCATTAACTCATTTTATCTGGCAGCCCCTCGTTGCCAAATGATTGTGTGGTCTGGTAATTTTGCTGTGTGCTGCTGACAGGTTAATGTGGGCTAGGACAGGTTCGGCTTAGCTTGAAATTCCAAGTCAAGCTGCCTCCAATCATCCGCCGACCCTTTTGCAGATCCTCTGTTGCCCTGTAGACTGGTTAATCTGGTCAAGCTGCGTTGTCTTGGTGCATCCTTTCGTTCTAGTGACATGTCTCAGTAATTTTGGTGTGTATGGTGTTTTCTTGGTGGAGCTTTGCGGCTTTTGCTGCGTGATTTTCGCTTTTCACGCGCGAATGGCTTGCCGGAGTCGCCACAGTGGCAGCCAAGGCTCATGCTCCAGCAGATCGAGCCCACAGAGGGTGAGGTGGGAAGCAGGAGAGAGTGGGGTGGTTCTAGATCGGGATCCAAGTTTTTAATAGTGTTTGTGAAGCAGTGACGATTGGTCCTGCAACTTTTTGGCTGCACTCAGCAAGGCAACAAGCACTGCTGTGACAACGGCTGCTGGCTTGACTGCTATGTTTTCTGTTTCTTTGGCTTCGCCTGTGTCATTCATGTGTGAACACCAGCGCTGGTGTTGGAAGTGCCATCAGTGGTACTCAGTGCTGTGTAAGACATTGTTGCTTGCAATTGTTTTTTTCTGCTGCAGTTGCCACTGTGATACAATGTCGATATTCTTTGAACCACAGTTTGTTGTTGGAGCTTCGCATGTTTTGTAGAGTTTTTTGCCATGTGAACATAAAGCCCGCACTCAAAAAGGATCACCCCATCACCAAGGAGTCACTGTGGGTGTTTTTGAGCTGTTCTGGGCTTGAGGATGGGCTTGGCTCATGCCAAAGGGATAAAGGGGTGTGCTTGGAAGTGTTATCAGTGAAGCAAGACGAAGCCAAGACGAAGCCGATGTGCATGGCAGGTGAAGCGAAGTGGCAAGCTGCGTATCGGCCACTACAACCAGCACAGTGAGGCATTTTGCTGCATCTTCCTGGCCTCCTCAGCAAGTCGAGGGCCCTTCTAGCTTGCAGAAGTTGAGGGTAGCAAAGTTGGAGCCCATTGTGCAGACACCCGACCAGAGGGAGTCTTTGCCTTGACGCCCTCTTTAGACCCTTACCATCCCCAAACCCTCCTGAGCCCTCCTAAACCCTGAACTTCCCCAAGCCAAACTCAAAGGCACAAGGCTCCAACCACACGAGTCTCCTTCACTTCAATTTGCCTTGGGGAGGCGGTCTTGGACCTCGAGGCCACGCCGCTGCAGTTCCTGAAGGACCTCTACCCCGAGGCCGGACGCGAATGCCGGATGTCACGAAAGCAACTTGGGAGCTCGCAATCGTTCTTCTTCATCATGACTCTTCTTGGGTCAACACGAAGTACGAGGCCGTAGAGGTACGATGATTCATTAGTCAATGGCGTGTACGTGCCGTTTGTATGAAGTATTGATGTATTCAATTCAACGGTGCCCCGCGCCAGCCTCCACAGCTTCGCTCATTGTTGATGTTGGGTGTTCTATTTTCAACTTTTACATCAGAAATGGTTTTGTGCCCATGCAAAGTTCGTGCTCTCTGGATCTCGGGAATCTTAGTCGCAAAAGGCTTCAAGCTCGAGCCGCATGGTCTTCGTCAGAGTTCCTGGTAGAACCATTCAGACTGGCGAACATGAGGCAGCGCGGCGATCGACGGCTCCGTCTAATTACTCTAATGCCACAAACATATGAGTAAGCGGAGCAAACGAGAAGTGTTCGTCTTACCGCTGCCAATGCCAATGACTTGATCGAGAAGCACATGAAAGGGTCATCGGTGCACGAGCCTTGCGAAGGCATCCAGCTTCGCAATTGAGGTTCCGACTTGGTGCTTTGTCGTCGATGCAGCTGCCACGACCCGGAGTATTTTTATCAGAATGAATACCTCGCAGAGTTGTGAAGCTTCTCGTTCCGTGCGCGGGGGGAGAGAGAGGCTGGACACACCAAGTATCCATATCATCACGAGATCGCATTGTGGGGATGTCATGTTCTCGCCACGCTCCTGCATCAATTGACATGTCTGGTTATGGGGAAAGACATGGCTTCAGCCAGAGTTGAAGGCAAGTGAGAAGGCCCTTTGGCGCACAATACTGTTGACAGCCTACGTGGCTACGCGCGGGTGAGGTCCTTGCTTGGAAGTGAGATGTGGCAAGCAGGTATCCTTACAGCATGAGGACGAGTGCAAGCAGTTTTTGTTTATGCCTACGTTACTACGATTGATGCCTGAATTCAAACAGAATGTCTAGTGTGAGGAAGCAATGGATCACGATGATGTGCGTTTATACCAGCAAAGGAAGAATTACCAAACTGTTTGGGCACATCTTCAGAGCCCAGCTAACCCCACAGCCCTCGAGAGGTGTATCGTCCCTGCATAGCAGCATGGGAGTGTCAGTGCGGCTGTGAGCTTACATGGTCCCAATCTATGCAATCAGGGCATCGTCACCATCTCGGGCAAGAAGAAGATGGAAGACCCCGAGTGGCGAGGTCCTGCGCAAGTTGCTTTCGGCTTTGGTGGCCTTTCCGAAGTGGTCGTTCGTTGGTTTTCTCCAAGGCTTGAAATGGGCGAGTTGTAAGGAATTTGATCTCCCCGGCAAAGGCCTCGCAGAGCCTCCACCATTCTCAGGATGGACCCGAGACAACGGAGTGGGGTGTCGACAATTTGTCCGAGCCCTGGACTCCAATTGTTGGATTGCGCCGGCGAGGCAAGCTGGGGTCCTTCGGCATCACTGGCGACTTCCAGTTCGGACCTCAGAAGAGCCGGCGATGTTCCTATGCCCAAGTATTGCAGTCAAAGAAGTCGTCTTGCCAGGACAAGAAAGATGAAGACCATGTCAGATGCTCCGCCGCATAAAGATGTAGAGACTAATTGCTAATCATCGTCGGTCACCTCCCCAAAGGGTCCATGACCAAGGAGACAGTGCTTTCGTTGACGACCTTAAGAAGTAGTTCTTGTGGCCGTGATATTTTGCTATTCTTAGTGGAGAACCCAGGGTTTGTGCCTGGCGCGGGCATGCTCCCAAATAGATCAGAACCGGAAGCCGTGTCGTCGGGCGTTGAAATACGGTTTATGCGGCTGCGTGCTGTATTGAGGCCCATGTCTCGATTTCCTTGAGTGCCCTAGACCTGTCAGGACGGGTACAGGACGCGTGCAAGGGGCTCAGCTGCAAGGTCTGCGTTGATAGTGACAGTGGATTGGTAGCAGGAAATCGAGGGTACGACTGGACACTCTGGCGATGGGCAACCCAATAAAGACAACGTCCCTTCTTGTTTCCATCGAAAACAATGACGATTGTCGGCCTGAGCCCGGACGATCGGAGCCTCAACCCTTGATTTAGTGCATGTGCTGGGAGGGTCCTGTTGCGAGTCTCATGAAGATGTGAAGTTCGGTCGCGTTAACTACATGTAAGCGCACAAAAAAACTGCAATCAGTTTGGGCCCCTCCGAAACGTTCCAAGATGGTGATGCTGCTCATGGCGCTGGTAAACCCCCATGTCCTCCTCCTCGATGAGCCGACGAACCACTTGGACATGCAGCTCGGCATCTTCTCGCAAGTCCCCCGCCTGGCCCTCCCATGCTGCAGGTGAAACTTCATAGTCGGCACACCGTGTGACCTACGTAAACAGTGCCATCTTCCCGAATCACAAGGGGGAGTGACTGCCAGATACTGCCATGAATCGAAAAGCAAGGCAGTGCATCGACGCCTTGGCGAAGGCAATCAACAAGTTCTCTGGCGGTGTGGTGCTGGCAACCTCCTCTGCAAGCAGCTGTCGACTTTGTAGGTGTTGAGGTTGAATTGGATGCTTCCAGTCCGTAAGGTAAGGTGTAACGTGTCATGCCCGACAACCTGCATGTTCTTTGCACGGGTACATGTTCCTAATCATATCGTTGGAAGCCTTGTGAGGTCAGCCACGACTTCCGGCTGATCTCGCAGGTGGCCAAAGAGATTTGGGTGTGCGCCGACAGCTCGGTATCCTGCAGTATCCTGCAGTGAAGGAAGGATGAAGGATGTTGGTCTTCCGATTCTGATTGATCTACAGGACAAGAAGACGGTGTCAAAGTGGGAAGGCGACATTCAGTCTTACAAGAAGCACTTGAAGAAGGAGGCACGGGCCCAAAGAAAACCCTAGGCCCCAGTGATATCTAGTGCTCTGCGCTGCTTGTTTTTTGAAGATTTCTGTTCTTCGGCCTTCGGCCTTCGGGGCGGCTTCTCGGCTCTGCACGTCCCTCAGAACCATCTCAAAACAGTCAACCGGGCAGGTGATGAAGAAATTCAAGGCCTGAGTCAGCACGTCACGAGGCACAAGTCACACGCTTTGAAGTGTTCCTGTGCGCTGATGGAAGTGTCGCTGTTGCTCTTTATGCCTGCGTGAGCGCAGCCGCGATGCTCCTCGCCCGGCCTTTGCCGCCACTCGTGGGGACCAGGAAGTTGTATGGCTAAAGTGGTTTAGCGGTTTAGCGGTTTTAGCGCTCGGTATGTTGACTTTTGGGATGTTGAGTGGGATCAGAGCAGCACTGGTGCAGATGCTTTTCCATGCATGGCTCGCCGGAGTCTAATTCCGGACAGGGCAACGCTCTTGTGTGTGGAACCGTCAGCGGAGTAACACATGACACATGCCCAAGCAATGCCACTTCAACGTGCTTCCACATCTTCTGGGCCTTTGGGCCGTTTTGCCGGACGCGGTCTGCCAAGCCAGAGCGAGTGATGGCTGCGGGCAGTGAAAGAGCTGCCACTGCTCTGCCTCGGACCGTGGCGTCCCAACAGGGCGACTTCACAAATCAATATTCTGCACACTGACGATGCTAAAGCTGCTACATGCAGCGGTCTTCGGGAGTCGCCCCGTCTCACCCCTCCAGTTCGGGCCCGGGCAATGCCCAGCGCAGGGCGGGTGCGAGCGACGCAGCACCGAGCCACGCGCTCGACTGCGAGGGGTCGGTGTTTCATTCTGCTAGTTCCGTAAGTTTGGCCGTCCCTGGCCAGTTTTCCACCCAGCACCTTTGATGCCTTGAGTAAGTCACTGTGGGCCCTAGCCTTACTAGTAATCCAGAACGAGTGATTCGTCTGGTGATGGTGCTGTGAGATCAGTGCTACTCTGAGCCGAGTCTGATTCGAGTTGCGTTAATGGTTTCCTGTTCCGGCGTCGTTCTGCGGAATCCGCAGGAGCCGCTGCGAACACAAAATCCCAGTCTCCCATTGCCTGTGAGAGCCATCTGTGCCAGGGCAGGGGAACGATCATACCTGGACAGCAAAAAGAAGTCGCTGAGAGAGAGGTGTTGCTTGAGCTGCTTGAGCTACTGCCTTCCACAGCCAAAAGTTGCCGCGCCATGGTTCCGCTGCGCAGGCCCCCGAGCCCACGCAAGACAGACATGCTAAAGTGACGCACAGAGAGCTGAGATTCGCACACGGCGACACGCAGCCACGGGTCATGGTTGTGCAGTGCTCGTGCCATGCCGCCATCGGGGCTGGCATTCGCATCGCGACGGGGGAAGGTGCCGAGAGCCAGGGATGGGTGAGGCATTGAGCGAATCACATGTCAGGAGTTTACCAAATCTGAAGAGCGTTTTCTGTTACATGCTGGCTTGGACAAATGACAAATATGCAATAAAAGAGTGTTGGTCCTCACTTGAGTTTTGGCCCGAAGCAGAAGAACTGCCCATCTGCCCCAGCTAGCCTTCCTGTTAAATGCGGGCGCTGTGTGGCCTGCTCTATGTGCTGCGTGTGCAAAGCACACAAAGCAGTCTGGTTTTGGCAGATGCGCTCTGTGACGGTGCCTCAGGGTGCTCGGGGAATATCACAGACGAGGCAGTCTTGATTCAAGCCCGAACGAAGCGCTCGGCTTCGGCAGGACTCTCAGCGCTGGAGGTGGGCAGCGAGTAGGGAGGCGGTAAATTCAGTGATGATAAGCATGTGTTATGTTCCGTGCAAGGGACTCCACGAGAACAGCAGTAGAGCCAAGCACCAGTCAGCAGAGATAGCAGAGTCAGTGGAAGAGTTGGCATCGTCTCCGTCAGGTCATGGGAAAGGCTGAGACACACCTCTCCGACACGCAAGTAAGGTTCACCAACGCGACGTCGCTATATGGCTCTTACTGCTATGATGCACACCATGGCACCACTGCTGCCTACGCCACATACCAAGATGTCGCAAGCCGAGAGGTGTGCCAGCAGATTTGCGCGGCAGATGCGAGCTGCAACTTCTACGGTTGGCACGGTAGCTCGGTCAGTTTGGAGGCCCCAAGCCGCTGCTACAACTGCGCTCTCTACCAGACATGCGAGTTCCAGCGCGAGTCGGTGTGCAAGGACATCACACCACCCTCCAACTTCCAGAAGAATCCCAACGACACAGCTGCCCACAAAGTTGAGAAGAAGTATACCGCCGACTTCCAGCTGAACGGCCAGTTCTGCCAGCGGAGCCAGGTGTTTGCCGCACAGGTCGCGAACGAGAGTATCTGCCGCAGTTTCTGCGAAAGCATTGACGACTGCAAGGTCATGGCCTTCTACATGGACGACCGTGTGCGCGAGGATGCGGCGCCAGACTCCTGCGACCAGAACTGCCGTCTCTACGCCGAGTGTGACAGTCCTGTACCGTCACTGTGCTTCCACCCTCCGGTCCTGTGGAGGGTTGCCGGCTCAGTGGCCCATTGACCTCGGCGTGGCACAAGGGGTCCCATGCTGTCTCGTTGCCCAGCTAGGGAGACAGGGCGCCCCCGGCCAGGTTGATCCGGTGGTGACCACCACCACAACCACAACGGCCGCCCCCGTGGTGCGGAGCTCAGAGACTGGAGAGTGCTGTTACCACTGGCCACTCCACTTAGCACATCCACTGACACATGATGACACATGATTGCGATTCATCCGCTGTTCTATGCTGTTCTGCTAAGCCCGCGGACTATGGTTGGGAAGATCTGACCACCACCTTCCAACCGGCTCCCCCAAACCGTCAGTTCGCAGCTTATGCCCGTGCTCCGGATGCTGGTTCACCCGTCGTCATGTACGGAGGGACGAGAGGCCTGGGCAAGAGCTTCGGGCATTTGCTTGTGTGTTTCTTGTGTCTTTGTAGAAACATAGATGAGCGAAATGGTGAAAATAGGTTTCAGCAAAATGGAAGTGCCTCACTTCCCCTCACATTCTCGCACTCTCACACTCTCACACTCTCACACTCTCACACTCTCACACTCTCACACTCTCACACTCTCACACTCTCACACTCTCACACTCTCACACACTCACACACTCACACACTCACTCACTCACTCACTCACTCTCACTCACTCTCACTCACACTCTCACTCACACTCACATTCTCACACTCACACTCACACTCACACTCACACTCACACTCACACTCACACTCACACTCACACTCACACTCACACTCACACACACACACACACTCACACTCACACTCACATTCTCACTCTCACTCTCACACTCACACTCTCACACTCACACTCACACTCACACACTCGCTCACACACACACACCTTATACAGACCCGAATGGCTGCGCAGCGGAAGTACATGTACCTGAGCCTCCCCAGCGTTTCTTTGCTCTGCGGTTGCATGGCGCGCTCCAGATTTGCCCCTGTTGGAAGGTGGAGACGACGTTTTGGAGGATGTTTGGCTCTGCGATTTGGCTGGGTCCTGGACAGAAGTAACGCCTGCGCAGTCGGGCCCAGGAACCATGGGAAGTTATTAGTTGCGATGTCGAGAATTGTTCAGGATCCTTTCACGTACTTTCCCCCGGGAACACCACAGTTCCTTCTCGACCCAGGACCACGATCAAGCGCCCAAATGATTTGGTCAGTGCCCGACTCTGGTTTTCTGGTGTTCGGAGGACGGAATGTTTTTGTGAGGTTTCAGGTTCGAAGCAGTTCTGAATGAGGCTTGCAGATTGCCGCCGGATGTTGGAAGGAGTCTTTGTATGTATGCAAGACCAGGCATTGCGACAGTTTTGAGTGTTGCTACTACGGGATAGTTCCCCTACGTGGTGGACTTTATGGAGTGGAAACACTGGAAGGGGGAGGGTCCTGTCAGCGTGCCAGGAATAAGAAACAGGGCCATGTCGGCGACAGACCTGTGGCTCTTGCAGGACTGAAGGGGTGGGAGTTGCAGATTCGGTCGGCGCCCGTGAGCTCGAGCTGACGCATGGAGGACAGTGGGGCAGGTTGGCAGTGGTCATCGATCGCCCCGACCGGCCCGGTGCCCCCGGCCATGATCGACCACAGAGCTGTGGCAGCCAAACAGAATGGCCAGCATGTTATGGTGATCTATGGAGGCTATCCTTCATCCGGCAATCAGTTGCACACCTTGGACCTGGCCACCCGAGTGTGGGTTCGAGAGGCAGATGTTCAAGGAGACCCCCGTCAAATGCCGACGATGGTGTGGATTGAGGAGTTGGACAAGGTGCTGGCCCAGAGCTCAGGCTGAGTGGGCTCTTCTGCATTCTGCTTTGAAAGTGACCACAGCGTGCCAACTTGACGGCTCAGGTGTTTGGTGGAAGAGGTTACCAATGGAACAATGATCTCCGGACATACAGCCCATCAGACGGCCAGTGGACCGAGCTCTCGCCCACAGGTGCACCACCTTCTGGTCGCTTTGGGTCTGTGGCAGTTTGGACTGGAGATCAGATGATCGTGTCCTGCCTGTGCAATGCTGCAATCAGGGTGTAGGCTTAATTTGACCCGCATAGGCCACCCTCAATTCCTGTCCTGGTTGCTCCCTCATAAGAGTTTTCGGATCGGCAAATTGTTTTGAGACGCTCGCTCCAACAGAGTCGACTTGACAGCAACAGTTGCAAGGTCCACGGCGGCTTCGACAACTACGTCGGACCACTCGGGAGGACCTGGCACTGGGTCAATGGACTTGACGGAGGCAATGGTACGTGGCTCTACAACGATAACCCGACCCAGCCGCAAGAGGCAAAGAACAGCAACGGCGCTGTGTGGGATCCGACGTTGAAGCAGATGTTCATTTTAGAAATGGAGACTGGGGCGCCCAAAGTCTGGGCTTACGGCATCATGTGACCACTGACGTGAGCGCTGATGTGACCGCGGTGACCGCTGACGGCTTCAGAGCCCGAGTCCTGTCACTACGCCATGGCTCTCGGGCACGAACACACGGGCTCACGCTGTGATGCGGAGAGCTGTTTAAGCTTAGAAGTTTGAACCCTGGAATTTGACACCCTCGCAAGTGCTGAGGCCAATAAATCTGTATTGCAAATTGGGAGCCTCGAGATGTGTTTCGGAAGTGTTCATGGCCTAGACAGCCCTGCACCTGGTCAGGTTCACAGCCATCTCCGAGCATGACCAGGTTGGCAACATTGGCAACTGAAGCCGGGGATGCCTGTGTCCTGTGAAACTTCGAGCATACTCAGATTCGGGTTGGGGGTTGAGATGGGTTGAGATGTTTAAGAGCTTGGGGCTGCTAATGCTTCGAAACGCGGCTTGGGAACGGCTTGGCTTGAGCTTCTTGACTTGGTGTCTCATGTGACTCATGTCGCATGTCATGTCGCGCAATGATCTGCCCTCCGCCCCAGCAGTCCCACAGCTTCCTGGAACCGTCGGCGCCCGGGAGACATTGGTTCCAAGGGAGCCTCCAACACCATCCTCGGCCGATATTTCCGAGGAGGTTCCCTGCAGCCCAGGCCAGCCAAAGCCAGAGGATTAGCTTCCGCTTCCGCGGCCTCTGGTCTCCCAAGTCTCTTCGTGAATCGTCGAACCAACCAAAAAAAGTCCAACAAAAGCCCGCAAGCCTTCCTTAAAGAAAGCGGCTACCAAGTGGCTACCATCTGCTACGGCAGTGGCAAGCCCACAATGAAGCCGTGCCTTTTAGAACCCTCCAACAAGTCGCCTGCGCCCGTAAGATAAGATTGGGCTTCGGCTAGCTTGAGTGTTCCAAGTTTCCATGTAGGTTGCAGCAACACCGAACAGGAACAACAGCGCCGCCGTCTTCTGACGGGGTTGTGCAATGAGGACATAGTGCTTGAGGCCAGGTGATTGTGTTTGGCGAGGCTGTTTTCTGATACTGCGGGGTGGGCGCAACATCTCATGACACGCAAGCGCACCCCAACACGACGGGAGAGTTTATTCTCTTGACTGGAGCTACCGTGACGATCGCATGGGAAGAGTTTATTCTGTTTCGGACCTTCCAGTTGGTTCGCGCCAAAACTTGACAAATAATTGCGCCTGACGTTCTCAGCTTGCTTGCTGTCAATTCGGTGCATATTTGACCCCACGATACATTGCTAGTTGCCGCTAGTTCATGTGGTCACAGGGACCGGAGGCCAAGCATAAGCAATCCCAGACGACTCTTTGCTGTTTTGTGGACCCCTTCACATCCAAGGGATCAGCTTAAGGGAGGGATGATGCGAGGGTCTGGCCCTTCTTAGCTGGAGGCACTGGTAGAGAAGCTGCAGGGATGTGCAGCTTGAGCGGCTTGAGCTAATGCTTTCCACGACAACCTCTGTAACATTTGCCGCCGTCGTTCCCGCAGCGCAGACCCCTGCACCCAGACAAGAGGCCAAAGTGATGTCAAGGCAAAGCTAGACCTTCAGGCGAAACTTGCACACGGTTTTTCACGCAGTGTAGCCACAGGTCAACAGAGAATGTGTCGCAGCCATGCCGCCATCAACGTTGGCGAATGCCATTGCGGCGAGCGAGGTTGCCGAGAACAGGGCTGGGTGCCGTGTTGAGCGAATCACCTGGTCTTGTCCCCAGTAGGTCTGTCAGGAAGTGCTTCCAGCAACAAGCATCGCCTGTATGCCGCAAGCCCAGGTTGGAGTGCTTCACTGACAAGGACAAGGGTAGATGACAGTGTCGACCCCAATCTTCGGCTCACCACCGTTCACACCCATTCATGCCCTTTGCTGTTTATTTCGTTGCTTTCATGCCTCCTACATAGCTGCACCGGGGGCCGAGCACATCAAAAAATCCTGAAGCCCCTGATGCCAAAGTCCAACTCGCCTCGACTTCCCCAAGAAGAGGTGCAAGCCCAACCAAAAGCCTCAGAAGCTGAGCGGCGCTGTGGCCTTCCAGGAGCGGACGTCCGAGTTCTGCGAGGCCACGGATCCGGCCGGCAACCTTGAGTCGAACAGCTCGGCAGGGCACAAGGTCCTTTTTGGGCGGGTGTTTGGGGGGAATCAGGAGGGAATGTGTTTAGGGTGGTGGGGCGAGACCGTGTGTATACATGATCGCCCCGTGTTCTTCTACCTTGGACTTCAACAGAAGGTTCAACAATGAGGTCAACAGAATTGAGCCTGGTAGTCCTTGCAATTTACCTTAACTAGAGAAAACTCGAGATCACAACAAACAGGGTGCGTAGCAGGCCTAGCGGGATACATTCTTGGTTCTTGAAGAACTCAACACAACATAATGTGTCCCACAATGGGCGGAAGAGGTTTGGGATCTCGTCCTGGGGTGCAGATGTTGCAGACGCTGCAGAGAATCGCAGGAGTACCAAGACAGACTCCGGACGATCGCGCTCCGCAAGGTGGGCCGAGTGGTTCTTACAGTGACACTTCGACCCCCCCCCCTCGTCACCCTCTAAAGTGACTGTCCCGTGACGGGTATTCAGTCGGGCGGAATCTGCGCCGCGGAGCCCTCCGGAAGTCTGGGTTCAGGGTCAGGGGTTGGCATCTGGGTTGCGGGCAGAATGAGCAGCTGGGCCCATCAGTGACACATTGGGCCGGTCTGAGCATTGTCTTATTGTTTCAATGTTGAGAGTGAGGTTTGAAATAGTGCACATATACGCGTGTGTGTGTGTGTGTGTGTGTGTGTGTGTGTGTGTGTGTGTGTGTGTGTGTGTGTGTGTGTGTGTGTGTGTGTGTGTGTGTGTGTGTGTGTGTGTGTGTGTGTGTGTGTGTGTGTGTGTGTGTGTGTGTTGTGTGTGTGTGTGTGTGTGTGTGTGTGTGTGTGTGTGTGTGTGTGTGTGTGTGTGTGTGTGTGTGTGTGTGTGTGTGTGTGTGTGTGTGTGTGTGTGTGTGTGTGTGTGTGTGTGTGTGTGTGTGTGTGGGTGTGTGTGTGTGTGGGGGTGTGTGTGTGTGTGTGTGTGTGTGTGTGTGTGTGTGTGTGTGTGTGTGTGTGTGTGTGTGTGTGTGTGTGTGTGTGTGTGTGTGTGTGTGTGTGTATGTATATTCATCACCTAGGGAACTCCAGCAAAATGTGACTCATGGTCAGCAGACGTCGGCATGGCAACAGTAGCTTTCTTCAGAGGTCACACACTTTCTTGAGTCGACGTCTTGCTCCACTTGAAAGTAGGCGGCAAGGAGTCCAAGTCAGTTTTTCTGGAACCTGAGTCGTTTTCAGGAATATCGTCCGATCAAATCGGCTTGCCTTGGCGTGAAGTGTAGGCTTGCGGACTGAGGTTCATGCCCTTTGACATGCCTTGGAATTCGGGCTTGTGTTTTGGGCTTTGGGGCTTGAAGCAAGCCCGCCCTGACATTGGCTAAGGAGAAGCGAGGTAACAACTAGGTTGTTCACCCGTCCTGGGCTGCCCTGAGAATTTCCCAATTGGCTTGCCGGCTTGCCAATCGGTTCAGACTTTCCCATGTCTTAAGAAGACATGCTTAGGGCCGCCAAACCTGATTGAGGAGGGCTTCGAGAAGGCCGAGATTGCTGAGGCCATTGGCCGTCCTGCTAAATTTGTGCAGACGTGGTGGCGGAAAGAGCACCCTGGGCAAATGGCAAGGCATGTGAGAGTTTGATGAGATTTGAGGAGTACTTGGTGCTGCAGTTTACTTGGCTTCATGGGTTCAGGATGTGTTGGATAGAGGGGTGTGCACGGCGGAAACAACATGCTGGCTTGTGGCGTGTTGTGCTGAGAAGTCCTATTCTGAATCCTAGAATGCCATTCGGTTCGGAATCCTAGCAGACAACCCATGCCCTTTCGTCCCAAATCTCCCCCACCAGCTAAGGCCAAAAGAGGTGCCAAAGCCCGCTGGGGCCCCTTGGACAAGCAGCATAGCCCTTTCCGCATCCCAGCGCCCTCTCTGCGTTGGTGCGCATGTGTCAGAGGTCCATGACTACCTCAGAACGGACTTCTGGCGAGACATTGAAATCATCCGTGGTTTCGGCAAAGGGCAGAGGATCTACGAAGATGCCTTAACAAGCATGGAGTGGGTCCAGCCCATGGCCGACGGTCGCGAGTTCAAGAACGGAGGCGGTTACCGGCTCAAGTACGACAAGGAGGGCCGCATGAGGCCACAGGGCAATCAGAATGCGCCCGGCGCTAAGTGGACCACTGAGCACCACTCAGTCGTGAGCGGTCCTGTGACTGCATCGATCAGCGCATTATTTTTAGTTTTGTTCTATGAAGCCCATCAGGAAAGATGGCGTGATCCCTGGCAAGCTGCCTGAGCTGGACAAGCTGATGCAGCGGGTGATGGTCGAGCAGGGAATCGACGACCGTGTGCTGAAGAGGCGGTGTTTCATACCACCCGTACTGTGGCGTGAGGTACTCCTAAATGACATGCAATGAGCACAGTGATGGAACGACATAGTCTCCATGACCTTCCTCTAAGACTCTAAGATGCGAGGCCAGGCCTCCTGTGGTATCCGGATGGCAATGCTGACGCCATCGTGCATCGGCATGAGGTGCCCGACGTTGCCGTGTCAGCTGCGTGCCACACTTCGACTCAGTAGCCACTCATAAGCCTCTCGGCTCCAACCAGGCGTGGACAGCGTTGATGTCCTTCGGAGCACCACGGATTCTGACTATTGACCCTCATCTGCACTGCTTCCGCAGCCGCCTCAACGCCCAAGCCTCACAGTACTAAGGATGGTCAACCCGTCCTTCTCCGCGACGGCGATCTCATCGTTTTCGGCACTCAGCGGCATGGTGTTCCGAAGATGTGCTCGGAAGGCACCTGGTCATAAAGAACCTGCGCAAGCCCTTTCAAAGCAGTGCCAACCTGCGACAGGATCCAGCTTCGGGGACTACGGTGGCCGCATGTCCGTGGTCATGTTCTTCATGCCCACGGGCCAGCAAGCCACAGGCTCCGCCCGTCCCTATCCGTCGCATCCCGTGTACTGGAAGGAAGGACTTGACCAGTGCCTCGTCATCCCCCAACCCCACCGGGCTCTAAGTCAGACCCAGCAAAACAAAACCGAGCTTGCGAGGCGCGGCACCATGGAAGGCCATCCACGACTCCGGTCCTTCACGAAAGGCGGGTGTGTCGGGTGTCGGGTGTGTTGACATCGACATATACCGGCTATGATAGTAGCGCCTGAGGTGGGGACGGGGGAGTGATGGGGGCTTGAATCGGCCTGAAGGCAACGGCCATGCTCCGAGATGCCGACCTGGGCCACGACGCACAGGCATCTGCTGCTCCAAGTGCTGTCATTATCGCTGTATTCGCTGTTTTCCCTTGAGAGAATGATCTGTCGCTTGACATATTCCTTTTAAAGGCGGCCATTTTGTAGTCGGCCGTTAGGTTAAAATGATGGCTCAACCTCGGCCTACAGGTTGCGGGCCTGCTGTCGGGCAAGAGGGCCTCGGAGATGCAGCAGCTTCTGGATATCGGCTTTGACGCTCCGCAGGCGACATCCGGAGAACAAGGGGATGTGCAACCAGATGGCTTAAATTGCAACCAGCTTGGCCAGTTTACAACTGAAGAAGCCCCCAGAAGGGAGAGTTTACAAGCAGAAAGCCTTAATTACGTGGGAGAACGTAGTCACAGCAGGGCGGGGGACTTGTTTGGAAGTTGAGGGGGTATTGTTTAGCAGTCGAGGGGTTTTGGTTGGATCTGCAAAAACATAAGGCACAGCCAACGAAACAAACAGAAAGCAAGAAGAGCAACACAAACAAATAGAATTGAAAATGCAGCCTCAAATGTTGGGAACTTCTGTCCGGTCCATATACCAACGAAGCAACGACAAAACACAACAAGAACAACAGAAGCACATAAGATCTGAGAGACAGCCTCAAGCACGTACCAATACCCAACATTTTCAAAAGCGATGAAACGGCCGAAATTGCAACCAGCATTTCAAAAGTCTTTGTGGTGTTGCCTAGGAGTCGTATGTTCTGGTCGCAAATTCCTCCTTCTGGTCTTGACTCGCTCGCCGCCGTCCGGCATCTGGCAGCATCCGCCGGTCCGTCATTGCCGTCGGCATTTTTCAGGGGCTTTGCGCTGCTCAGCACAGACCTACTCAAAGCGTAATCATGGCCTAATCAAGGGCCTAGTCGCCCTTCATGGACCGGAGAGCTGGACGGGAGACTCTATGTGGTGTGGTGTGGTGGGCAGAAGGACACATTCGAATGCATCAGCCTCATGCTGGGGATTTCTGCAGCAATCGAGGCTCCAGTGTGGCGCCGGAAATTGTTGAAAATATGATTTCCGCGACTTAAGCCATCTTGCCGTCTTCTCTTGTAGGCTGTTGAACCCTAATACTTGTGCTAACCCTGCAAACCCTTGTGCTGCTAAGCCCTTGAACTCAACCCCTCAGGCCTCAGCTTACGAAGACCGAAGCCGCTAGAACATAAGTTCCACAGACTCGCCTCTTGAGAAGGCAGCCGCAGCGCTGAACGCTGCTGGTTTTGACGTGGCCACTGCCGTGGAGATGTTATTGAGCCGCCACCCGAACGAACTTAGGGTTGACGGGTTTGCGGGTTTCATGGGGCCCTGGAATTCCTAGGCGTTTCTCAGGACCTCAGGACCTCAGGACAACGCCTTTGACTTGTTGGATAGATGGGTAGATTCGGTCGATTTTTCCGATTCTCCGGCAGCTCTCGGAAGGACCTCGGAGCATCCTTGAGGGGCGAGTACATTGTGCGTCGTTCTGCAGCGCCACCGCCATTCGCTCCCAGCTCAAGCGACAAAACATGACAAAACTAAGGAAGTGTCCCTTTGCTTGCGGACAGCTGTGATGCCTGCATCGACAGGTGCCTTGATTGCAATCTTTTGCAATGGTCCCCCTTTGCCATTCGTGTTACAGGCGGGAGGCGGCTCATTTGCGTTCCGCCCTGTGCTGTGCTCCTAGGTCCGCTCAGATCGCAACGCTGCTGGGCCGCTTGGAGGCGCCCCAACAATCTCCAAGCACTTCAGAACACATGCCAAGTGCCAAGCCATAAGAACTGCACAGCGTTATGCGTTTGCAGTCTTTCGGCATATTCGCTACAGATACAGGAGTAGGGGATAGATGAAGAAGCTGGGAGGGCTTAAATGAAACTCTTCTCGTAAGCATCGCTGCCTCAAGTTTGACTCCCTTCAAGTGCCTACCCTGAAGTAAATCTTGGTCACTCCTTCGCCGTGCCTTTTTGGGGCCAGGAAATTCAGGCCTCGAAGTGGACACTGCTGCAGGCCACCCCACTGCTTTAGAGGGCTGCAACTTCTTAAACGAGGGGTGGTGATACATGTGATACTCGAAGTACTGAACGTGTGCAACTGGATGAGCCGGGGGGAGGGGGGGCGGGGGGAGAGACAATCGCCGGCCAAGTTGCTTCACTTGTTGACCGTCTCCTACTGTAGCACTGGCATCTCTTAGCAGCAGGGGTTGAATCAATGGCTGGGTTTTTGGGCGAATGACGCATGGGGTTGGGGTGTATGCCAAGTCTGCAGGTCCCTGCAAAAACTCTGGCAAAGACACAAATCTTGGGTCGCCGGGCATAGTTACCTTTTCTGTGTCAATCCCCATTTGTGTCTCACTGCAGGACGTTGATGCTAGTGGCGTTACTGCGACAGAGGACACGGACTGGGAGGAGCTCTCCGAGCATGGGGTTTAAACAATATCCCAGGTTTGCTAGACGCCCAGAGCTGCTTGCGAGCGTCCTGCCTGGGTGACTATCGTCTCGCCAGGAGACTGCCATCCTTGAGCAGTTAGAGGCCGCGCCGCTTTGCCACAGCTTGTGTGTGCAGATGGTTTCGTGGCCATTGTCGTGTTCAATCCTAGATCCATAAAGCATGCAAGGCGGATGCATAGAGAACTGACTGTTCCATACAACAACAGCATCGCGGCTAGGAGCTGCAAAAGGAGGAGATGGTGGACAACACAAGCTTAGCAGCGCAGTTTGCGTGCCTGGGTGGATGAGTCATGCGGCGCTCTGACACTCCCAGTCCTAGGCCAGGCCTAAAATCCTTACGCAGAGCCCATACCACACAGCCCAAACCTCCTCAAACCTCCTCAAAGGTGTTCGTTTCGGCTTGCAGTTGTCGATGCTGCCAACAATGTCGTGGTGGACATTCTATGTGTCGGGTCGTTCAGGCAGTTCGAGCCTCAGCCCAATGCTCAGGCAGTACGAAGAGATGATTGATGCTGAAGATGCAGAGAACTGGGATGGACGAGGGGATTTGATCTTCATCTGCATTCAGACTGAAAGCGTCTTTCAGGGATGCTCATCCATGACCCCAACTGCGGAGCAGCTTCCAAAGGCAGTTTTTGATGTTTGCCAGCTCGGCAAGAAAATTAAGAAAGCACCTCCGAGGGGTTTTCGGAGTCCAGCGAAGCCTTGCAACTCAGCCCATGAAGCCGCATCCGGCAAAGGATGGTCAGGGAGTGGCGGCGGCTTCATCTTCACATCGAGCAGTTGCGTGCCGCACTAAGCCATGCTACTCATCTTCTGCGAAGTACATTTTGACCCTCAAGGGTGTGAGAGCGGATGAAATGGATGAAGCAAATGGTGAATGATGATGCTTGTCAGTTGGTAGTTTGGGGTGAGTAAAGCAAGTGTAAAGCAGACTCGCAGCTTTTATGCTTCGAAATTTGTGGCATCGGGTCGAGTTGCTTAGCACGTTGCCCTCCATTGGCCAGTGCATCATATTGCATCGTTAGCTAAGGCAAGAGCCATCGACCTCCTATGCCCTGGGTTCTGGCTCGATGACGGAGAGGTCCTTCTTCGAGCTCTTATCCCTCCATTCCATCCGCGTGCTCTACGACTTCCGTGGCTTCGCCAATCACAACAGGGAGAGTACGGGCAACCAGCATTTCACGATGTTTCGTGTGTGCTTCGTGACAGTAGTGGGGGTAGCATCAGCATCAAAACTCTACGTGGCTCTCGCCCAAGCCTTCCAAATTCTTACTCAAGTCTGCAGAGCGCACCTTGACTAACTTCGGTCACCGCGGCCGCCAACACCCAAGGCTCGGACGGTGAGCAGGGTCCGGCACACTTCAAGCCAAGTCACCTGGAAGGCGCCTGCAAGCGTCGTGGGCTCAGAGGTGCTCGGGGTTTGTTTTCGGCATTCCCGACAACTCGGCATGTTTCAAAGCACCCTGCAGCTATACAGTTTGGAAGGAAACAACAATCATGCGTGTGTAGTTCTTGAGACAAGATCACCGCCCCAAGACTCTTCTTAAATCTTTGCACAAGACTTCCATTTTCCTGCCCAGACATCGTCTTTTTGTCAGTAGTGTAAAAAAGCATGGAACAAGAAAGCGATCACGAAAGTTAGAGCAGCTAACCAGCGCGAGATGGGCCACAAAAGGAGATATTCAGCGCCCTTGACAAAACATGGGAGCAGGCCACGTTTGTTGGGCTAACTGCTGTGTCGAAACTTGAGGTGCATGCCAAGGCCAGGGAAAGCTCGCGCAGTTCGCTAAAGCCAAGACCCCGAAATCCCTGAACTCAAGACCTCTAGAAACTAGACCCTGAAATTCCTAAACCCTCAAAACCCTCAAATCCCTGAACCCGAAACGCCCTAAACGCCAAAACGTCCATCAAAGCGACGCAGCTGCTCTGACGGACTGGCAGAATCCCTGTTGACGGTCACAGTGTTTCCAGCAAGCCTTGTGCTGCTATCAATAGTGAACACCCGGGCCGGTCATCTTTGTGCGGAAGCACAGCACTTTCTGTCCCGGCACTGCGAACATGGTCGCATCGAAGTCCCCCTCGATGTCCAGCGGCCTGGAGTTCTGCTTGAACCAGGCGAACAAGCATGCGCAGCGCTCGACAATCGGCTGCGGCACCTCGGCGGGACTTTTGTACTTGGCCATGTACAGCATCAACCGATCGCGGTACTCATCCACCAAGTTTCCGTCAATCAGGCCTCGGGCCTTCCCCCTCCCCGGCTCCATCGGCCCTCTCGAAACAATCAGTCCCCACCCCCCTCCGCCCCCTCGCCCAAGAATCAGATGGAATCAACAGCTCGCAGCTTTCCGGGCCTTGTCTGGCTCTTGCGAAAGCACGTGCGCGTGGTGTAAAACGCGTACGCCAGCTTCGACTTGGTACTCCCAGAAGCCTTGGTGAGGCCCTGAAGCGGGGGATCCCAGCAAAGCACTCGAAAAGCACTCGAAAAGCATCTTGCATCCGCTGAGGGTTTTTGACTGCCCTAAGGGCACTCGGTGCACTACCGCTTCGCGCCCTTGGGCCGCGAAGGGGCTTATGGCATCCTCAAGCATCTTCAGGAGGCGCGGGGTGGAGGGACCGTGAGGTCATGTGAGGCCTATTTCTTCTGTCCTTCTTTGGTCTTACTTGAAACAGGACGAAGGCCGCAACCTGCTGGCTGAGCTGGTCTGGTGGGCCCGGCGCAAGCGCACAGCTTTCCTAGGCCCTCTGGCAGAAGTGGAAGGGCGCGAAGAGTGAACAGAGGGCCTGAAGAGGGCCGAGTCCAAAGCAAAGCGAAAAGCGAGCCAGCAGCTCGGACAATGAGCACCCGCAGTTTCTGGGGAAATGGAAGTGTGTGAAGCTGGAGATGCAAGTCAGAGCCACCAGGAAAGCACAGAGTAGACATCGCTTGTGGCCTCGAGAAGCATGGGCCGAGACCGGAATGTGCTGTTTGGTGTTACTCTTAAGGCGATTTTTCGAGTGAATGCTTCAATCTGAGGGCGGCCCGCCATCGGGTAGATTCTCGTCCTTCCTGGGTGTACCTGGATTGCGTAGCTTAGGGCAAAGGGGCTGGTCATATGCGAGCTGACTAGCGCAATGAACTTGTCTGCAGCTGTCCTGGAAAGTCGCTGCAGGCAAAGAGGAAGACTGGCGTGTTTTGTCTGCAATCGTCCATTTTATGTTGATGCGTGTCACGGGTGTCCTCTACTTCGGCATCGCGTGGCTAATATCCGAATCTTCCACGAAGCGGTTCATGTAAGAGACGCAAGCAGAGCCTTCAGGAATCCTCCAGACCTAAAAGCTCATCGTGGTGCAATGGTCAATCAGTTGCTGTTCCCTGAAAAATGATGTGAATGGAAGAGGGGGTACGGAGCAAAGGAACGTCCTGGACCACACAGAACGACGCGTTCCCACAAAAAAGAGAACCTTCCCACAACGAGGTCAGGATCACCGCGCCGCCATCGCTTCCCGCCTGGCCTTTGCCGGCCACAGCCACCTGGCAGTGGAGTAGACCTCCTTGTCTTGGCCGGCTGATGGGGTCCCCCCTCCCCCGGTGGTCTTTAGCAGAACTTTTTGAAAGGGAAATCAGGACAGGAAAATCGGAGCTGTGGTGCTTCGTGGGGGTCCACTCCTCCGAGTCGAGATTAATGTCATCCTGTGGCAGAATTTGTAGCTGTTTCCGTCAGCGTGCGGCATGTATGTATATATGCCTGACTCATACTGAATTCGGAAGTACTGTTTCCAAGATGCAAGATATCTCAGCAGAAGAGCAGGGCATCGGATCTTGCATCCCAGACTCCCTCAAATTTTCCATGTCGTTACAGAATTTCGACTTTGAAGAGTCCACAAGCTCACGAACCCAGATTTCAATGATCACAGGACCTGCGAACTTGGTGTCCTTTCCACAAGCTTACCTCCATCTTCCTTCAAACATAACTGAAGGCGTAAACCAGAACCGCTGTGCTGGACTGGAAATAGAGGCATTATGAGTAGTTTAAGATCAAAGACCTGCAAATTTGAATGAACCTTGGAGACCACAGGACGTCTGGGCAATGCCTTCAAACTAGTGGAAACGTGCCACTAGATATATTGAATGCAGGGGGTCTGCATGTTTAATTCACTATAGCAGAGCTTGCAAGACAAATGCAGTACTCTTGAGTGACATCTGGAGACCGTAAAGCTTTGCAGACTCATCCAAGCTTTGTACAGCTTTCAATCCCCCCCAAGTCCCTTGCAACGGAAATGTTGGCTTGCAGAACTTCCCGAATTTCTCTTGGCTTGATTTTAGCGCTACGCGACCCGCCTCGTCCTGGCCAAGCCTGGGGGGATGGGGGGGGGTGGGGGGGGAATGGGGGGTGGGGGGTGGGGGGTGGCGCCAGAAACTAGAGCGGGAGTCCTGGCAAAGCATCCGCTTTCAGATCCCGATCGCCTAAAAAAGGGGGCCAACATGTGGCTCGGGGTGCCTGTAACAACCTAGGTTATAGTAGGATTCCTCCGCGTAGTTACATTGTTGAAGCTCGACAGTTTCAGCTGAAACAAGGCTTTGGTTTCGAATGCAGGAGTACATGATGTAATCCTGCAAGCCCTCCATGAACAAGAAAGACTTCTGGGGAGTTTGGGGCTCGCTGAACTAGTTTTCAAAGAAAAGAAGTGCTAAGAACGTTTAAGCGTCGTCATTTAGCAGCTCAGGCATGTGCCGCGTTCGTGTGGGGTTCCGTACTTGAGCTGCAGGTTTGAAAATCTAGGTTGAAGTTCTTCAAACCAGTTGAAAAAAGTGTCAAGTTCTGACTGTAGCTGCAGCTTTTATCCTTTGCTTGCAACTGATGGGGTGTGGTGTTGTTGGCCGGGCGAACCTCCTACGGCGCCAGCGCTTGTTCACATGAGTTGGCTGGAACTAAATCATTGTAGTTAGTGATGTACTTCAAAAAATTAGCTTCAGCTTTGTCTAGTTCAACACAGAAGGCCTGCTTATGAATTCAGAATAACACCACATATAGTTAATCAATTAACTAACTTCCATTGCTTAAACAATTTAATTGCGGTTCGGGCTTCCGGCTTTGCGAGTTGCTTTCTATTTCCATGAATGCAAGTAAGGCCAGGTAAACCCATTGTTGAAATACAACATGAAAGGTTGGAAATTGCGACTCGACAGATAAATAGATGGGAAACGTCTCAGTGATCAGAAGCATATACACACATACATATATACTCTGTTTTGCGGTCGCCGGTCCCCCCCCCCAGGAGCCCGCCCCCACGCTAGGGTACCCGCTCCTAAACCACAGTTAGGTTGGTCTGGGGTTTGTTCAAGCCATCTTGAGGCAGCAAGTTCCGTCGCCATTTTGGCCAAAGGGCGATCGGACCCGCAGGCGAAGGCTGATCAGCTGTTTTGCCCCACTGAAGATGGCTCACGCAGTTTGGCGCAGGGGGGAATCCACTGCCGCTGCTCTGGCCTTGCGTGGATTGCGGCTTCATGGCAGGCTGTTTTTGCGCAGGCAGGAATGCTCCTGAGATTCTTTCTGCCGATGGCAGTCGTGGTGCTGGCCATCGCCACATGCGCGGCAGGATCGCTATCAGGAGACATGCCTGCGGAAGAGATCGACTGACAAGACGATTTTTCATCGCTCGCCAGGTATGTAGCCGCGAAGCGTGCTCTTTCAAGTATTGCCCGCTGCCGCCCTGCCAGAGGTGTCCGAGGGCTCCAGTGCTGCCGCCGTGCCAGTGCGGTCAGGAAGTCACAGAATCGTGGGCCGCACACCACGGGGTCGGTGCCAGCTCCACAGCTCCTGGAGGCCAGAGGCTTGGTTCTCCGAGAGCAGGGCCTCTGTCTGCGGCTCCCGCCGCATTCCGGACTCGAGTCCTGGCGCTACGAGCTCGATGACACGGAGATGCTGGACTTGCGTTACTTCAACCTCCCGGTGCAGTGGCACATATGCGACCAACGCGTGCCATTTTGGCTCGAGTCTGACATTTTTTCAGTGATTCAGTGAGCCATGTCCCATTTCGACTTCGAAGCTCTGGAGATGGCAGCGCAGCGTCTGTCTGCGGAGGCTGCAGCAGGGGGCTCGCTCGTCAGTGAGACCTTGTCTGAGGCCCCGCCCGTCCTCGATGCACCAGCGACAGGCGCGGAGCGGCTTGCAGATGCTGATCCAGAGCTGGGCTGCTCACATCGCAGAGGCTTTGCGAGTTAGAGACCACGACCTCACTCGTATTCGTGGCCTGGTGGCAGTGGAGACAGGGCGTCGTGCACCAGTGACTCAGGTGAGCAGAGCACCTCCTGTGAAGGCTCCTCCCTCAAAGCCCAACCCACCGCCTCCTGTGGAGCCAACCCCCCAGCCACACCACGGGGCCGCGGGGTGGGGGACCGTAAACCCTAAACCCTAAGCCTTAAACTTTAAACCGACGTGCGATGTGACAGATTAGAAGCCCTAAATCCTAAACCTCAAGCCCTCCCCCAAACCCCAACCCCCAGACTCGCGAGGGTTTGTTATTAGATTGCCGTGCTGGATATTTCCAAACTTCCAGAACATGGGCCCAGGCATTTTGGAATTTTGGATGTATGGGCCCAGAAATTTGCAATCTGGAAACCTGGAAATATGGACCCAGAAATTTGGAATTAGCCCAAAACCTTTTCGAAGCTTTCGTCGAAGTTTGCTTAGCTTATTCATGTTGTGACACGAAACGCGGGTGCCTGAGGGAGGTCGGGTATATGTATGTGTGTATGCATGTGTCTATATACATATATGTGTACATGTATGTGTGTGCTTAATAAGGTTTACTAGCGTATCCGTGCACAGCAGTGCAGTGGTCCTCCGTGGATCACCCTGAAGATGGCTCAGGCGTCAAGCACGTGTTTGCAGACGGTTCGCTAGAAGACCACCCGCAAGATTTCGAGATGCCGGACTTCATCGCCGGTGAAGAGGCCGTGCTTCAGTGCTTCGAGGTGTGTAAGCTTACGGAGTGCCGTGGAGGACTTCTTGACATCGAGGGCAGTCCAAAACCCCTCCAAGCAGAAGAGTGATTGAGCTGAATCCATGGTTTGAGTATTTGAGCATCTGCCCTTCGGATGGACCCTTGGAACACCTCGGAGCGCAGGCTAGACTGCGGCGGCTCGAGAAGCAGCGTCTGGCCGGGGACTTGGCGCGGCCGTCGAAGTCGGCGACCTCACGAAGCACGGAGGAGGGCCTGGGAAGTTGAGGGGGGATTTGAGGTTTTGTTGGGCCCGGCTTCTTCTGCAGGGCCCCAAGCTTCCTTCCAGGTGGTCGCGCAGCGTCTCACGCAACCTGCAAAGGCCAGCGGCTGCAGATTGATGCAGACCTATGCACATGTGCACACAGTGTAGCATGATGCAGCTTGGAAGCAGCCTGATATAGAATAAACAGCTGGGCCTGAAGCTGGGAGGGCCATGGGGTTGTCAAGGTACTCCAAGCTTGTTGCCGCTGTCGCCGCTGCAGTCATCTGTAAGCCCCTGACCTTGTTGGTAGGTCATCGATGCAGCCGCCGAGCTGCGAAAGGCCAACACCCAGGCGCAGAGCATCGCGGCCTTTCCACAATCGTAAACCTGTCGATTCTGTCTTTCAGCCCGCGAAGGTTCTCAGAATGCGAGGTTCCATGATGTCCAGTGATGTCCCATGGTCGTGACTGCAGCGGATTGTTGACAGCTGGCTGTTTTTCACCATCAGAACTTGTTTAGGAAGGCCGGCAATGGCAGCTTAGTGGCGGCTTGGCGGCTCAACCTTCCTCCCTGGCTGATTGCAGGCCGAGCTCTGCCGCATCCAACGGCGCCTGGCGGACATGGAGCGCAGGCCTCCATAGCATTGGCAGGAGAGAGTTTGGAGTCCGGCGAGAGGTTCGCAAAGGTGAGGGTTTCGAGTGAGCGATCCGCCCGCCAGATCCGCCTCCTCGGACGCCAAAGCCGGTCTGGGACCGAAGCTGCTGCATGCGAGCTGGCTCAAGAAAGATGTTCTGAAGGGTAAGGATCAAACATGAAGCGCCCACCATTACTGTGGTATTTCTGGGGCCCTTCTGGACGTCAACTAGGCAGAACCTCTTCCAGCCTTTTCCCAAGCTCTGCTAGACGCCTCATATTAGGCTTGTGGATATGTGGCCTCGGTTGTGCGGCATGCGGCACAGCCTGCGACCCTAGCACACCTGTAGGATGTTTTTGGGAAAGCCTGGAGGTGAACAAGTGGGTGAAGGCCCAGGCAGAGGAACAGCGGGAGAACTTGGCCGCCGGGAAGACGAAGGATTGAAGTACACCGAAGTACGGCGGGAGGGTCAGGAGTTTTTCTGCTGCGGGCATTGGTTTTGTCTCCAAGTAGCTGCCTTGGCGAGGTGATAGTTGCAGGAATGTGAGCTTTGGCACCCTAGTCTTCAACCGGGCTGACCTGTACATGGCGAGGGCGACTTCCCCGCAGTTGCTCCCTTGCCTGGAGGATGGCAAAGATAAGGACAAGCTACATGCAGGCTGGGCATGTCCTTTCGAGCGAACTTGAGTCAATGAAAACCTTGGCTGGTCCTATAGGCCCCTAGGGCCCTGGGGGGACAGTATGCTTAGGACGAACGACTAGCGGTTACAGGGCGGTTTCTGTGTCAAGTACTTGATACAGTATGAGAGCAAGCTGCAGGTGGGCCAGCGCCGTCATATGCATGGACTGGCAGTGGCGGGACGTCTGGTGGCAACCCCGACTTCTTTGCTGCTGCCACTTGGCGTTTAACCAGACTCTGCTGGGAGATGTCTTGTTCCTCAGAGCCTCCGCTCGGGGAGATGCCAATGCATGGCTCTAAAGTTGTTGGTCTGCTCCATTCTGTTCCTGCATGTATCCAAAGGGGAGGGAGGGGAGTGGCGGTGACTGGTGAACTGCGCTGGGAACACCGAGCCCAGGCCAGCTCCTCCGATGTGAATGACGTGCTCGTGATTTGTGATGGCTGTGATGCCTCGCTCTCGCACGTGCTCATCGATGAGGGAGGCCTGCTGCACACTTGCTGAGGAGGTTTAGTAACACACTGAGGGAAAGCTGCTGCAACCGGCAGAGGTCTCTGCTCAGACTGCCGCGCAGCGGCCGCTCCTGTACAGAGTGGAGCCGAAGGCGAGCTGATCAGGACGTAGTGTGTCGCATATCGCAATGCTCGGGACTGGGAGCTGCTTGGGGAAATCTCCGCAAGGCCAGGCGCCGCTGGCTGAGACTTATAGATTTGATTTGCGGGCGGCAAATAGTGACGTCTGAACGATTCTGAACGGCAGCTGTCCAACGATAGAACCACCGTGACCAAATACACAAGGGTGAGCAGGTGGTGGCACTCGGGGCCTGCTTGTCTTTGACAACGGGCCGTGACAGCTTTGATATCTTGGGCTTTTGACTCCAGTTTCATCTTGTACAGAATCTGTCTCAGGGCCACAGCCACACTTCCTCGCGCAATCAGCCTATCTGTTCCATCTTTTGATTTTTCAACTTCTAAGGTTCGAGACTCTAGGAAAACGGTCTGGCCACAAGGCACAGCTTCTCGTCAGTTTTCTAATGAAATTAATGTTGGACCTGCTTTAATAATGCAACCCCCCCCCCCCCACCCCAAACAGTCGCGACCCTGAATAACAAAAGACCCCAAACAGTCAGGCAGGGGAGGGGTCCGGAGCCCGGAGGCCTCCCTAAGCTACCCCCCGACCCTGGAAAGGTCGAGGCTTCAGGCTTCAAGTATCCCTTCGTCTCGAGAAAGCTTATGCCTACTTCCTGAAAACCGAAGGACTGAGCCCCGGGCCCCGGGAGACTTGCATTATAGTGGGCCCCCAAACAAAGGTATTAAAGTGTGTCCGGAGGCCTCCGTAAGGTACCCCCTTTCCGGATATGATTCGCCTATGGAATCATCTAGTTTTAAGTCAGGAATTTATAAAGAAAAGGCGCCCTGAAAAAAAAAGATTGTCGGAGATCCTGGACAGGTCGAGGCTTCAGGCTTCAAGTATCTCTCCTTCTCGAGAAGCTTATGCCTTCCTGAAACCCTCAAAAAAACAGTCACGGCCCGAAAACTTTTCATTATAGCGGACCTCCAAAACAAAGGGTCCAGATCCTGAATAGCCGAAAAACTTTTCATAATAGCGGCCCCCTAGAATATTGCGGGTGCAACATTACACAGGTGAAAGAGGTGTTCTTATTATAATATGGAGAAGATGTTATCTTATTGAAATAAAGGGGAAATAGAGGTTTGGAAAGACGATTAGAAAAAAGTTATTACAGAAAGAACAACGAAATAAGGACGGAAAGAACGAAATAATTACAAGCAGACGTCAATAGTCTCAGGGGTCCATCTCAGTTGCAGTCTCTTTTTGCACTTCCCTGGCAACCGGGTTTCCGCAGTACACAGTCACTTCGATCTTGCCAATCAACAGATTGACAAAGGCTTACGCTGATGGCGGGGAGGTTTAGTCACCGCAACCCTGGAACGAGCAAACAAGGGTATCACCGAACACCCATGTCCGCTTGTGTCCATCACCCTGCACTTCTCGCCCCAGACGCCAGCGCCGCAGCCTTGGACGCCGCGCGCACGGAAGTTTCTTGGCTTGAGGTGTGGGCACGAATGTGTGTGTGTGTGTGTGTGTGTGTGTGTGTGTGTGTGTGTGTGTGTGCGTGTGTGTGTGGATCTTTCTCCGGCACTAGCCAAACGAAGGAGATTAGAACGCGAGGCCCAAAAGCCTGACGCAAGCAGAGATCCTCGGTCGTCCCAAACCGAGGCTTCAAGTCGGTCTGCTCACATGGCCGAAAGCCCGGAGCAGCGTGGCCTTGACGAGAGCCGTTGGACTGGGGCTCTGTGCGAAGTGCCAAAAATGCAGAACTTCATACCAAGACATACCAAGACACATGCCCAAAGATGCCCCCCAAACCCCTAGGGCCGCGCCCACGCCGCTGCTCAACTGCCGCAGATGGGCCAAGCGCCGGGGAGAGCCTGGGCGAATCAGGAATCATTGAGGGATTCAAGGACGGGAGCCACGTGTTCTGCACGGCAGGGTCATTTTGTTCTGCCTCTCACACCCAGGTGGCAGCTGACTCAGTCCAAGATCCGAGCCGTTGAGAGCTCCAGAGGTGTTGGGCTTCGAGATGAAGGTTGCGCATTGTCGCTGCATCCGAGCCAGGCGTTGGATGGAATGCAGCGCTCCAGCACGCAAGACAGAGGTTCGGGATGTCCACGATTGTAAGCATCCTGTCATGCCCAATGCTTTGAGAAAGTATACTTTGTATACGTCATGCGCAGTTCCAGTAACCGCGGCTTCCGAAGCCTCGCAGTGGACAGAGAATTCACTTCGGTGGTGGTTTTCTGCTGTTGAGCACCCCCCCCGGGCTCTCTGTGGGAGCCTGCTGGAAAGATCGAAGAATATCCGGAACGCCCGCATCTGTACAGAGAGAGTGCCAGGCCGTGCCAGGTGAGTCCCATTAAACTGCACTGGGAGTCTACACAAGAAAGCATACATCATTTCTGATCTTGTACCATATCATCGTGTCTGAGCACCTGGTTTCTGTTCCGGCGCTTAGCTTTATGGGCGGGAACGCATGGGAGCGGTAGCTTGCCCACCTAAGATGGGCAGTTCGTCCCACGCCGGAAGGCTTCCAGGAAGCGGTATGTGAGGAAGAAATCCGTGAGCTCAGAGGGGACGGTGAGCCGAAGCCCCCCCCCCCCCTTATTCCCGGTGTATCCCGATGTACCAAAGGACCAGTGGACACTGGGACATGTCATGGTGCAGGGCTGTCTCCGCTCTCGGCTTGCAGCTTGCAGCCAGCAAGGCCATGTTTGTCTTTGCGGAACTTCCGCCTCAGCCCGACCCAGCATCTGTAGACATCCCCGGAACCTGAGAACCCCGAGGTTCTCACGCACTTCAACGCACCCCGCCTCCTCTCCTCGAGCCCGACCCACCTGACACTTGACAACAAAGAGCACGCAGACCTCAGCCGACCTCAGCCGGCGTCAGCCGAAGCTGAGCCGACACCCTACAGACTCAGACGAGCACTTCTTTCGTTGTTGACCAGACTGATGGCGGCCCGCGACCCGTCCGCAGGCTCCTTCATCAACAGGCCAGGAATGGGGAATGAGGGTTCGGGACGCTTGATGCAGTGCAGGTACGGCCACATGACGTTCTCTAAGCCCAAGCCAAGAAGGTAAAGCAAACAAAGCAGAACCATCAACGATTCAGACTGCAGAGTGCCTGAGCCCCAGGTTCCTGAAACAAGAGGCAGGGGGCTGCAGGGGGCTGCTTCATTGAAACTTGTCCCAGTGTCCACATGGCTCTATGCTCCATTGTTCCCAAGCCGGATTCGAAGAGAAGACCCTACCTAATCCACAGGAGCTTGACGAGGAAGCCGGCGATGAGGACTTAGATCTAAGCAAATTTGCTCAGTTGACTTAAACTATGGCAGGTTTATGCGGAGAGTGTAGGAAAATCGCCTGGAGCGCAGATTCAGCAGTAGCCTTGATCTTGCTGAAGCACAGCACTTCACCTCATAGGGAAAAGATGTGAGCTCACGCATCCTGTCCAATCACATGCCCGAATTCAGTTCGTCGTTACGTTACTGGTATAAGACCCACAAATCCGAAGGTTTACCTCTCGCAATGAAGCAGTTGTCTGGAGAACGAGACGACGAGAGTGCATGCACACAGCTTCCGAACAGCTCCAAGCGGCATCTATTTTGCAAATTGTCACGCATGCATGAAGTTAAGACAAAGGAACGGTCATGCTTTAGTACGGGTCCTTAGCATGACTTGTGCCGGAATGTCAGCCACGGAATGGAACAAGGGTGCCTATCTGATGTGGCATGTGCTTGGGATGAATGAGCTAGGCTCGGACCAGGCTCCCTGTGTATGACTGCATGTTGTCTCTACTCGGTCAAGCGTCGTACTCTCCAGGATATGGCAGCAGGGATGGGGGAGTTCCCTGAGGAGCCTGAGGAGGCGCCAGGAGTGTAGGGCTTCAGGCGGCTTCAGGCGGACTTCAGGCCAGGTTGTCAGGTGCGTCCGTGACAGTTCTCAGGCCCGCGAGAAGAGGGGAGCTCTTGAACGTGTCATCGGTGCCTACACAACAAAAGCTTACGTGCGCAAATACGCTGTTGTTCCAAAAACCTCCAAGGCGGTGCTCGGCCCCCGTGAGGAGCTGATGGAGAATGAGGCCGAGGAGGCCATGGAGCCCGAGGAGGCCGAGGCCATGGAGGCCGAGGCCATGGAGGCCGAGGCCATGGAGGGCGAGCCCATGGAAGCCGAAGGCGCGGACTCCTTTTTTTTCTCAACCGCGGTTTTCTTCTTGGCGTTTGTTGTTCTCCTTTCTTAGTGGTGCAGCGTGAGGGCGGAAGCGGCATCCCCTCTTCTTGTCATTCCCTCACTTGGCAAGCGCGAGAGCTGCTAGGTGAGATGGAGTTTGAGGAGCCGTGCGAAGGGTGCGAGGAGGAGCATGGTCTGAAAACGGTCTGAAGCACCTGGCCCGCGTTGCGACGTTCGAGCTTGCCCGTATCCCGGGTCCCGAGGAGGGCTACGCCGAGGGCGACGCCGAGTTTGCCACAGAAGAGGGCTACGCAGAAGACACGGAGGAGGCCCAGCGCATGCCGACCTGTCAGTGAAGCAGACATTCAGCGGGACTGAAGATGCGCCATGATCAGGGAGGCTGCATCATCTATAGTCTCGTTGAAAGCATGGATTGCAGTGTGGGAATAGAATGGAACAAGGGTTGAATGGTATGCAACAGTCGGGGAGATCTGAGGGGCAAGCGCAGATATTGGAAGCACTACTTGGGACACAAGACCTCGACAGGTACTCGTGCTTCCAAAGCATAATAAAGTGTAGGGCAGACTGAGACAGACAAGTTCCGGCAGCCTTCAACATCTTGCATTCAGAGTGGCACAGGCCTGTGCACTGATAATATATGTGTCACGTACGGAATCTGCAGTCGATTCTTCGTCAGAGAATCGTGCATGACAGCGCCCGCGTTGCACTTATCACGGTCGATGAAGATCAGGAGGAGCTGATGCCGGCAGAGGAAGAGGCCGAAGAGGCGGAACAGGCCTGATGGGATGCTACTCAGACCATCAACGGCACCTAAGCCTCGAAGCTGCTCCGTAAGCCTTGGCCTTTAGGAATGGTCATGAGGGCCCTGTTGATCCGTAGAAAGCGAACAGTCTTCTGGAGCAGAGGCACCCACCCACGGGATTTGTTCGTGTTCGGTATCCCGCGCAGTGGAGACATGCAGCAGATCCAGTGCAGTGACGAGCTTTATGCAACTTGAAGTAGTCAATGCCTAAAGTGCATGCGCATGCTGAGAACACGTGCACCCAGGCGTAGCGCCCTCACCGAGGGGCAAATGAGGCATGAAGACATGAACGATATGAACACGCCTTGGCTCTCTAAGATGCATCTGAACCTGTACGAAGAGTCAAAAATCTGTCACACACAGTCAGCAGATTCTGTTTTGTGCGTCCACGGGCCCAGCATGAGGAACAAGACCGGGGCCGCCTTCGCGAAAACGAAAGCCTGATAAGTTGCCAGTGTCCACCAAGTCCCTTTGCCTCCCTTTGGTCTTAGAACCCCGGTTTGCAGTGTCAACGTTTCAATTTGGGCGTCCTCTGGATGCCCCTCTCCCTCTATTGCGCACGCTCCATCCGGAAGGTGGGCGCTTTAACCAAATCCCCGGCAAGACTCAGACTTCAGGGTTTAGGGTTTAGGAGATGAGTGTGTAAGTGCGTATACTTTTTTGTGCACCGCTCCGAAGGCTGAGGGTTGATGTTTGGGGAATTCAAAGTTCATAGCGGCGAGGGCTCTTTTCCTATCCCATCTTCGCCCCGCGCTGTTCATCTCTCGTGAAGGATCCAGAGTTGGATGCCAAGTTTCAGGCAGGGAGTTCTGGCCGATTGCAGTTGCAACGCTCCAAGCGCTTGAGCCCGGCTGTACACTCTTAGAACATGTCAGATCCATCGGCCCTTTGGCATCCCTGCTCTGAACCTTCGGCTAGGACGCTAGGAGTGTTGCAGTACATAGTTGGATATTGTAGCTCATATCTGATTATCTTGGCAGGGCCTCTTAGACCAGATGCAGGAGGAGGAGGCACAGGCAGCCGAGGAGGGAGAGGCCGAGGCGGCGGAGGGTTGGCATGCTGGGTGTTTGGAGGAGCACTGTTAAATGGTTTGTCCAGAATCTGACACACCCGCAGACTGTCTCAGCTCAAGGTCCTAAGGTGTGAGGCTCTGAGCCTAGCATAACCTAGCCATGTGATGCCACTTGCACCTCGCAAAAACCGCCTTCACAGAGCCGGGCCTTCGAAGGCTGAGTACGAAGCTGATGCCTGGGAGGAGGTGGAGGAGATCGAACTATGCCCGTCAAAACCTATTTTGGAGTTTACGTAGGCTTTTTAGTCGGGCTTCGGTCTTTTCATGTCTGTCTTCTCATGGTCCTTGTTATCGGCCTTTGTTCGCTGCCATTGAGACACAGTTTGGCCTTCAGCACTGAGCACCGTATGGAGGATGGTAGCAGGTCCAGCGTGAACGTATTGCAGGGGATAGCTCCTTCCCTTCCAGCGGGTGGGGCCTGGGTTTGAGGAGGGGCGGAGGGCGGATGGGATGGGGTGAGGGGTCGGTCTTGATGCGTCGGTCTTGATGCGTCGCTTGGTCGTGTGAAGCTGCGTAGCTTTGCCCATCCTCACTTGATGCCGAGCTCAAGGCTTCTGGTCGCAGGCCACCCTATCCTTGCTAGGACGTGGTTTGCTTTGCGCGCGTCATGCGAGACACCGCGTAACTCAATGCTGACAGCATCCTGGCGGGGCGTTCTCCATACTTGTCCCCTCAACTTTTAGGTTTAATGTTCTTCTGAAGACGTACAGACTGAAGCATCTTGTACTGTCAGAGGAGCCAGCCAAGCCCTCTCGCCCGAAGGCCACCTCTGCTGTAGGCTTCAGTAGAGCTTGAAGAAGCGTTTTTGGCATTGTTGGCACTTCACTTGTGGGTTGCCGGCTCATGCCCCAAAGCCACCCACAAAAGCACCTTGCTGAGCCTGAAAATGCTGCGAGGGAATTCCGCCATGGCAAAAGCAGCAGAAGCCTATTGGAGGACCGCCCAGAGTGTTTAGAGTGTTTAGAATGCCGATGTGAAATTCGCGTTCAGGCTCTGTGTCACTTTGGAGACCCCAAGTGTGCCATCTAACAATGTACGAGTACCTTCCATGCCCCCTCTACGTTGCATTGAGCCAGATACACCCCCATTGCACCTCTGGAGGCTTCACGAAGCCGCGGGAGCCACGGGGTCCACCGCCTGATGTCGCCCAGGCACCGGGAGAGATCTCTTTTGAGAGTGGGGAGCAGAGTAGCACGTTGGAGAGCGAAGCACAAGGCAGCTTAACGAAGTAGAACGGAGCACCGGGGCAATGAAGGGCTAAGTTTTGTTGGCCGACGCTGCCAGACCCGAGCCTCGAAGCGCCAGGGCTTGGACCTGCGAAATGGGCCTGGGCCTCATGGGGACAGCTTAGGGGTTTGGGGTTTTTGGGCTTTGCCAAAGCTGTGCCAGAGACAGAAGTCTTGATGCGTCATGGTTCCCCAACCTTGCCGGCTGTGCCCGGTACTATGATCCAAGTTGCCAAAACCCCAAGCCACCCTCAAACCATATCGGTCGCTCCTCTGCAAGGCCGTTCCCAAAGTGGAGCAGCATCGCGGGAGTCTCCACCAACGCTTGGGTGCCTGGAGATCTTTAGGGACCGTTCGAGACCGTCAGAGACCGTTAGAAACCATTGGAGACCTCCGTTGCCCCAGGCGTGGGACGTCACGCCCCCGCCGCCACCAGTGAGGTGGACACTGCCATCTGGGTCCAAGTCACGAGAGGCTTAGAGGGAGGCCAGAGAATCATAGCCTATAGCCTGTCAGTATCCTTCGGAGGCACGGTTTGTGCTCATCCTTTTGAGACGGGGCCCGATGTTAAACCCATGCTGCTAGATTGGTGACAGACAGGTTCTACCTAGTGAAGCAAGGATCAACGGTAACTTGAGGGATCGGTACAAAGTTTGGCTCCGGAGTCCTCGCGTTACCCTGTGCGTTCAACATTGGCAGAAGTCTCTGCTAGCGAGCGGCTTCACACTTTCACTGGTGACATGACAAGGTGGGCCTCCCTGGAACACCGTCCTTGCACCCACAAAGACATCCCGACAACATCACATTGGTTCCACCAAGGTGTTTTGTCCAACGCCCATCATCGGTATGGGTATATAAACACGTGTGCCCTTTTCATGGCCCCGGGATGGAGACACGATGCCACTGCAGGCCGCAGGCTGCTCAGGCAGCTCCGGCTGCTGAGGCTGCTGAGGCTGCGCAGTCTGCGCAGGCTGCGCAGGCCCAGCCCAGCTGGAGAGCGCAGAGCGCAAAGCTGCAAGGAGCAGTTCAGGGCTTGAGGTAAACGAGGGTTATAACGAAGCTGTGTGATGTATGGGGCTCTGAGCAGTGCTGGAGTGAAAAAACGGCGAGGTGACTACGAGCCCTGAGCTGTTGAGCTCTGAACGAGCAAGTTACCTCCTATCATCTCCTATCCAAGAACTCAACATCATTCGCAGTTCTTCGCTGCTCCCGAACTCTTTGCTGCTTTGTGGCTTCGGAGGTTCCAGCGGGCTTGAAGGTGGTGCCTCCGCGACCAGGACAGGGATGACAGGGGATCTTGAGCACAATTCTCCTAGCGCGTCTGCATGATTTTGAACTCTGCCTGATCTCTTGTCTTATTAGGGGGACAATGTTTTCCTACGTCTTCCCTGAATTTGTATGGCCTTCGTGAGAGTGTGTGTAGTGCATGTAGTGTGTGTGGTGTGTGTAGTGCATGTAGTGTGTGTAGTGTGTCGTTCGGCCCGAGCGGCTGATTGGCGAGCGATATCGTACTACCGAAATGAAGAAATAGAAGAAGAGTGTAGCCTGATGTTGTCTGCTGAGCCAAGTTGCATCTCGAAGCCAGGTAGCAAAGCCAAGGCGTGGAGCTCAGACGTACTTTCTTTTTGCGAGACTCGAAGCCAGATCCAGAAACCCTTCAGGTCGCAGACAAGATCGGAAGCTGCAGACATCTCTACTTGCCAAGGTACTGCATAGGCTGTTCATGAAAAAGCAAAGCTTTCTTGCACCCTCATCCCTCATCCTGTGACACAGGGCACGACTGGACCTGCAAGCTCAGAACAAATCCCTCAATCGCCCAAAGACGCCCAAAGACATGCAAAGTCTGCACCTGCGAGGCCAAAGCTTCGACCGTAGGGCCGTGCTCCTGCCACGTTTGCGCTCGCACTCGCGGGCCGCTGGTTTGCCCAAGCTGCAACCGAAAAAAGGCGCAGAGCTGAACTTCTGCAACAGAATCCTGAACTTTGCAACTTTTGAACTCTGGGTACTGTACCATCTTCTGAACCCTAAAGTGAGTTCTGTTGGCCAGGCGGCCGCCAAAAGGAGCGCCTCCCCCTGGGCTGTACGAACCTCTGAAGGGGGCGGGGTCATAGCTTGAAATGCTTGAAAGTCGGGAGACTCAAATTGGGTTCTCAGTGGTGCGGGCCTTCAGAGTCGGGAGTGGCCAGGCCCTCTGAGGGCCCAGGGTTCGGCGCAGCGGGTTTGCGAAACAAGGGGCCTTATACAAGACACACGCAAGAGCTTTCGTCGAGGCAGAAGGGCCAACAGGTCCACGTGGTACCTGCCCGGGTCCCGCCGAAGCAGCAGCAGAGCTCAGCAGGCAAGCTGGGAGAGTTGGGCTGGATTTGGTAGGACCCCATGCTTCTGAAGATTTGGGTTCCATTCTGTTGCCGTGGTGGTAGCTGCGATAGCTTGGTGCAGATGAGCGCCCCGTGCGCGCATCCAAGCTTGAGAAGCTCTGCCAGGAGGCGATCCAGGCCCTGCCGAGCGTTCTGCTGCCGCTGCTGCGGCACTGGATCGGGCAAAGGCGCTCTTCTCGCAAGGCGTCATATGGCCCGGGGAGAAGGGATGCAAGTGTGTGATGTTCAGGTACAGGTTGGGGCTGACCATATGCAGCCATACCTAGGGCCACAGGGCGGACTCTGAGCCACATGAGGTTGCAGTTAGGCTTTTGAGCTCTAGAAATTTCAGGATATCTTTGTCCTAAAGATCATAGGCTTCTGAGTTTTCAGGGTTTGGAGTTTCGTGTTTTGAAGGCCTTCGGGTCACCCGAGCGTTGAACGTGATAGGAGTTCGCATGTCATCGGGTTTGAGTAAGGGGTTGAGGGCTCCTGAGGTGTAAGGGTTCAGAGTGTCACGCAGTAGGAGTCCATGGTTTCGTGACAAAGAGGACTTACAAGTTTCACAGAGTTGCCGGCTTGCGTTTTTTTGTTATTTGTAAATCCCGGTGGTTTGGGTTTTGGAAGGAGGTCGCGATGCTATTCCTTTAAGTGTTCGGGCTTTTTCTGTTGCGAGCAATTCAATGGCTTCGGCCTGCTGAATTTGAGGGTGCAGGCATTTTACCTTCACCAGCTGTTAGGCGAAAGAAGTCTCTAAGCTTCATGCCATGCACTTCCCCTTATCAGCCTCGTCATCCGCATGCTACAATACACGTGGGTTGGACGTCCCTCACCCAAAAAGCGCGGACCATACTTGCAAGCGGCCATCCTTATTGGCCGGAGGCAAGAAGAGCGGCGACCAGGCGCATGGCGAGATGGTGGGACTTTCCAGTTGATCATCGGAGTTCAAGCCCAGGATCCCACGTGCTGGGTAGGTTTATGTAGGTTTGCAAGATGAAAGAAGCTTGGATTTGTAAACACATCGAGGTTGTGGTGCGAAGCGGCTAACCCCGGACTTTGTAATTTTCCCACGCCGCCCTTGTTGGCTCTTGGCCTCCAACTGCCTCCTTTGCTGGCGCCTGGCGAATGTGACCCAGTTGCAGGTGGTCGGATGGGCAGGGATTCAACGGCCTAGGCAAAAGCCCATGCCCTGAACCTCATGTGGAAGCGAAAATGGGGGGTTCATCCTGGCACCCCTCCAGAGTTGGGTCTGCTGGGAGACATGACGTCTCGGCAACAGTTCCCTGGGTCGCTTGTGACATCTGCAGTTTACAGTGCAAGTTTTTCCAGCCAGCCTCTCCTTTTGGGCTTCGAGGTTTCCCCGCCAACATTTCCATTCTTAGGGTTTAGGGTCCGGGAGAAGTTTGAAATAATGCCACCCAACATCTCCCGTGTTAGGATCGGACCTCAGCTAGCCTTATCCTTTCTATCAGGGTTTGCAAGCCAACGTCCTCACCTCCCAGACTTTCTTTGCTTGCTTTTGCCGCCAAGCAGTGGCCTCCCACTCCCAGGCAGATTCCGAAGGTCTACTCCGAAGCTGCTATGAGTTGTACAGAATGTCAGACCACGACGCCTCGCTGAATGCCCCAAGGTGCCAGAAGCTCCAGGTCTTGGAGCAGCTTGTCTCTTCGCAGCAAGCTGGGTGGGCTCAGTGGGACATTTGGGCTTGGCAGCTGTGCCCATGAGTAGCAGCAGAACGCGCCTATGTGCAGCGTTGTCGGCATTCCTTGCACCAGCGACGTAGAAAGACACTGTCGTCATCCACAACACCTGAAGGTTGATGGGGTCTAGGTCTAGGTAACTTGAAAAGGCAGTTGAAAAGAAGATCAAAGTATACATCTCTTTGTCCCAAACAATGCAAAACTTGAACGTCAGCTTAAGATGCGTGAGAAGGAATTGACAATCGTCGTCCTCAATGCTAGGTTTGCAAGCATGGCTTGAAGACATGGTGATGAGAGGTTTTACATTCTCGCATGACTTCGCTTGTTTCTTCCTGTTCCCCTGAACCATCCCAGGCCTGCAAACCCTGGAGTAAAGCTCCGGGGGGCCAGGCGTGCAGTGCCCCTTGCCTTGCTTTGGGGAAATGTGGTAGGCAAGGAGTGCTGGCCTTTGCAGGTAGCTCCATAACACTTTGGGTATCTGGGTATGGGTTGGAGAGCATCCAGCCATGACCCTCTGGTACGTTACCCAAACAAGGATGCTTGGTGGGGAGTGTGCAACATGTTGCTGCTTCTCTGTGGGGCATGCCTCTTGGCCTCCCTCTTGTTACTAAACGCTTGATCAGAAACGTCTGGCTTCGCACCATGCGGCACTCAGGTATCACCATGTCTTGGACGACTCCCTGGCACCGGGATGATGAGAAGTGCCCGCCTCAGAACTCTCAAAGACAGAGTGCTTCATTTCTTGAGTTCTTGCGCTCTTGAGATCTTGAGCATCGCGACGCAAGTGTTCCCAGCTAGGCCATTCCTGCAGCGCACGGACACGATGTCCCTGGACATCATCCGGCCCAAAGATGTGCCCCGTGGACAGGCTGGAACCTCAACCAAAGACCTTTCCTACTCTCCGATCCCACTTTGGAAGCCCAAGCCTAGTTCCTGAGTAGCTTTAGCAACGAAGGAAATTGCCCTGGGCTTGGCCATGTCGGAATACATGGCTAGGTTGTACCGCAGAAGTCCGTGCAATTCCTACAATCCTTGCTAGGGCACAGACCACTGCTCCAGCAGGTCATGTTCCCCAAGGATTATGACAAGTCCCTCATCACGGAGGATCGGCATCAAGTGATGCACTTGATCAGGGTGTAGGCAGGTCATGTGACCACAGACCATGAGGATTGTTTTCGGTAGCTGCCAATGTCTCCAAACGTGTTCAGATGGAATTACAATGAATTAAAGGGCACAGTCTTGAGAATAATGATGCTGGGCCTACATTTCACAAGGACATTCCCCGGTGTCAGCCGCATTATGACCATCTCAACTACCTGAACAAGCCGGACATGAGCGTCAGAGCCTCATGAGGGCTGAAGCTCTAGCACATGTGCCGGACCCAAGATTCACTCTAAACCCCAAGATGCCAGGTACCACCCTTCGACTCGCCACTATTCCCCGCTTGCGTCCCCACTGTCCTCTAGGTCGGCTGCACAGACCCTGTGCACGTGGGGGGCAAGGCGCGATCGTACTACGCCCGGGGCCCACAGTGTGTTGTGGGTGGCCGAGGCCCTTCCCGCACCAGGTCAATGTGTGGTTCCTTAAAATCCGTAGGCTTCAGCGAAGGGAGCAGATCGCGCTTCCAATCTGCGAATGTCCCCAGCATCCGCACACGTTTGTGTGCTCTGGTTTTGATGTTACGAAGCAGATGGCGTTTGTTTTTGACTGTTTCGATTGGGCGTGAATTCTTTCCTTGGGTTGTAGGATGTGTTTTGTGCAAAAGTGGCTCGTCCTGGGAAGGGTGCACCAGAATGCTCTGCGGAAGACGTAGGAAGTATCCCAAAGCCTGATCCCCGAAAGGTAGGAGGCCCGAAGCTGCCCTAAAAATTCTGCTGTAAGGGCTGGTGTGGCATTGGACGCCCGAGGCCCCAATGGATCGGCGCCCTCGAGACCTGTCGCTGACGACGGTACGCCTCGGGTTCGTTTTCGATCTCAGCCCCTGCCTTCCAGCCGAAGCCCTGCACGATGTTGCATGACCGAAGCTAGACCCACGGTCCAGCCCTCTCAAGACATGATGCGCGATGACGAAGCACGTAGCTGCAATGGCCCAAGCAAAGAAAAGCGACAGCAGTGAGATTCAGGTTGTGTAAAGGGAGGGAGGTCTTCTGACAATGTATTGGCACTGGGGCAGGCAGACATCGAGCTGGCGATTCCGCGAGGGGGCAACCACAAGGGCTCTCGTCGGGTCCTGGGACACACTGGGGACAAGGAAGGAGCCGGCTCCCTGATTCCACGGGCCCCTATCCTATGGACCTCCGAGGCCATACAGACCCTGTGTGCCCGAGATATCAGATGCCGTCCTCCTACCAGCCGGACTCTCAGAGTCTTTTGTGGAGCTTGTGGTGTCGTTCGTAAGCCTGTCATCTTTCCTGCTCCAGTCACGAAAGCTAGCTCCTTGGGAGCTTGCGGGAGTTCTTGTTTACCAGTTTGTTCTTGGGCCAAACAGCACTCAGGGGCCTTAATCTCCGATATATCGGAGGTTTAAGGTGCCATGGGGGGGGGGCGCCCCCCCCCCCCTCTGGGGTTGACCATACAAGAAATCCTTGGAGGCTGGCGGACCCAAGGGGTGGGGGGGGATATGTTCCCGATAAGGTGGGGGGGGGGGTCCCCCCGCCCCCCCCCCCCTTAGGTCAGCATTGTTACCCATCATTTTAACGACTGAACAGCGCGGTCTTCACACCTGCGCCCTAGCTTTCGTTCGCCCTGCTCTCAAGTCCTTCAACATCCCCCTCACCCCACATTCAAAATCGGGAACTGCAGTGTCTTGGCCCCAGGGCACCCGTTCCTGAACCACGGTGGAACGGCCCTGCACTCGGCTTCGGACGGGACGGTGCTGGGCTCAAGGGTTGAAAGAGTCTGACGGGTTTCAAGGAGTGTGGTGATGGGAGCACCCGATCTGTACTTCCTGTTCTGAATCCATAGCTTGCTCCCCTTCATTTCGCGTGCATGCCACCTTCAACGATGCTCGGCAGGAAGGGAAACCAGCCTGAGATTGACAAGCGATGCATCTGTTCTTTTGTCAAGCAGGATTGAGCTAAGGCCGACATGCCACGGACAACTCCGACATCGAGAAGAGCTATCCGCGGGTGAGCCATGGATTGCCATTGCTAGATGTTCTTGTTGAGCTACGATCCCTTCCCGACAGTAGATCAGCATGCAGTCCCAAATGTTCAGCATGCCATGCCAGGTTCTTCATCCTGATCGGAATTACACACGGGACCCGAACGAGGCCGTGCCCGTGCGCACTCTTCGGTGTCGGGTGCATTCTGCCTCACGTTGTCGCCAGGGTTTCAGTGAGCGGAGAGTTGCAACGTTTGCAAGCCGTGTCTACTATCACTGTTTTTTTGTTGCCCCCTAGTGCATGTCATGTCAGCATCGAAAACAGGGCCGCGACATTGAGTACACAACTCCGAACTATGCTGGGCGCTGAAGGGAAGGAGTGCCATGCTGTTGCGGATGAGCCATGCTTGAGTAGGGGAGAGGTGGAAAGCGCGCAGTGCGCAGACCATCACAGACAATCACGCTCTCCAAGGCGGAGAAGCTGAACACGCTTCGGGCCCGGGGCCGCCCGCGGCCCAGAGAAGCCCCAAACCATGGGAACCGGAGCATGTAGCCTAGTAAGTCATCGCAATCTGGCTGATTCCTGTTTTGGGAGGCTTGCCATGGCTGGGCATGCGTTGTAAAGGCCGGTTTATTGAGGTGTGAGCACTTGGCGTAGAGGACATTGTTGCCTTGACCTAGGTCCAGACTTCTCCCTCAACGTAAAGGACAGCCTGCTGTGGCTTCCCTGGCGAACGGTTGTTTTAGGTCAGCGTCCGGCATCTTCAAGGGTTCGTTACACTTTGCAGGTGGCTCACTGAAATCCGGGCTTCTTGTTTTGAGTCCTGTGCCTGGCAGAACTGCCCTGGATAGACATGTTTGAGGCCACATAACCTCACGCAATCCCACAACGCTTGAACCTTCGATCAATGACTGGAGAGACCGGCGGAAGGGGTCCAGAAGAAGCGGGGGTCCTACAGAAGCTCTTGGCAATGCCTTGACGATGATCAACCCCTTGCAGGACATAGTAGGCGCCAGACCAGCAAGACCCAGATGCACAGATCCCTTGGATCCGAGTTACAAGGCACCTCATCTTCCTGCTGCGTTGCTTCTGCTTTCAG